ACCTCAAGAGGTATGTAAGGGATAAACCCAGCTAACTAGGGTCCCCGGAATGCTTAATATGACAAAATCGGTCAGCTCCCTGCAATTTCGAACATCAGCATCCACTCGACCAAGTATCTCCAGATATCTATATTTACACATATGAATTGCACTGCTCCATGCGAATGCGAATACCCTCTTGTCCACGACCCCTGAGATCTCCCCCGCCTGGATATACATCAATCAGCAAAGGCTGGCAGGAGGGACCGACCGAGAAGGACATGGCCAACTTCCACAACCAGTGAACAATAATGGCACGCTCCCACTACAACCCCAAGTCCTCGACCCGCGACTCCTTCTTCCGCCTGCCTCGCAGTATGTCGGCGCAAATACAACGATTCCGGGACGGGAACTTGGTGGATAGACTGTTCAGGAAGCCAATCTTCAAGTCGGCATCAGCATCTGGCCCCTGGGAATCGCCTTTCTCCATGTCGACGGTACGGTCTTGCGCGTCGTGGGCCCGGCGGCAGTGGCACCCGCGGACTCTGCTGAAGCTGCCGCATCTGTTCGTGCTGGTTTGGGTGCTGGCTCTGCTCTGGGGGGAGAGGTGGGTGTTCCAGAGTAGCGTGGAGAGCTGTAAATGGGAGGCTTGGGAGAGATGGGTGAGTTCCTCTTCCTCATCCTCTTCCTCTTCCTGTTCCTGTGCCCGTTCCCATGGAATTTAAGGTTGATTTCTGACCGACCATGGCAGCCCAAAGAAGCTACACCTCATCACTTAGTCTTCATCGCAGATCCGCAGCTTGTAGATGCGCATACCTATCCTGGGAGACAGTGGCCACGGGACAAGCTCACAATCATGCACACGGACAACTACATTAAGCGCGCCTACATTTCTTTGCAAAAATTCCTGCACCCGGACACAGTCTTCTTCCTGGGGGACTTGTTTGATGGCGGACGGGAGTGGAAGACGGCAAAGGGCAATACGGACGATCCAAATTGGATGAATGGACTGCGCCCGGCGTACGAGCAGAGCTTTGTGGAGATGTGGAGGCAGAAGTATGGCGAGAATTACTGGCTGCAAGAATACGACCGCTTTGGGAGGATCTTCTACGATTTCTGGAATTTGAAGGGGGCGAAAGCAGGTCCATGGCAGAGAGGGAGGAAGATTATATCGACGCTACCCGGAAATCACGATTTGGGATTTGGAGATAATATCAAGCTGCCGATACGGAACCGGTTCGAGACGTACTTTGGACAGGGCAATAGGGTGGATGTTGTTGGGAACCATACCTTTGTCTCGGTGGACTCGGTGTCGTTGAGTGCTGGGGCCTCGGAGCATGATGTGAAGGAGATCACCGAGCCCGTGGAAGAATTTCTGGAGAATGTGAAGTCTCTGAAGAGGAAAGCCGTCGCCCGTGAGCTCAGCATTATTGGGGGAGAGGAGAAGGTGTTGCAATACCCACACACGGTCGAGGAAGTCTCACAGGTCGATTGGAGCAATCTTTCAACGCTTGATCCGGGGCCAGACTCACCAGAACTTCCCACAATTCTTCTCACGCATGTTCCCCTTTACCGAGACCCAGGAACGCCCTGTGGCCCAAAAAGAGAACATTGGCCCCCGGAGAAACCGCCCAAGGGTCAACTTACACCTGTCAACCCCGACCTTAGGAACGCCCTCTCCATAACCAAGGGCTACCAGTATCAAAATGTCCTGAGCGAAAGTGACTCGGTTAAGCTCATCGACAAAATTGGAAACGTAGTCCATGTCTTCTCAGGTGACGATCATGACTACTGCGAGGTCGTCCACTCGCCCGCTAAGAACAACGCTCGTGAAATCACCGTGAAGAGTGCCAGCTGGGCTATGGGTGTCCGAAAACCAGGCTTCCTCATGCTCAGCATGTGGAACCCTATCGATGCTTTCGGAGTACCCCTTCACTCATCCCACTCCGGTCACGGATCAACCTCCCAAGGCGCCGTAACCATGGAAAGCCATCTCTGCCTTCTTCCCGACCAAATAGGTATTTTCATCCGCTATGCCATACTCGTTGCCTGCACAATAACCATCCTCATCACCCGTGCTATCCTCACACCTGTCCTCCATCTCACGCCATTTGCCCCGTGGATTGCAAACATACCAGGAGAAGGCGATACCCCCCTCCTACCCGCCACCAATCAAGACCTCAAGCGCGAAGAATTCGAAGACGGCCTCTCTACCGCCGCCAGCCAATCCCCCCACTCGTCAACCTCCTCAACCTCATCTACTCAATCTAATCCCACCCTCGCCCCTCGTTCGTCTGCAGCACGTACCCGCCCCGTCTCCCCTGTGAACGGCTACGGCTTACCCCCCTCTCAAACCCGCTATCCCACTGGCCCACTGATAAACCAAGCGGGGAACTATGGGAGCGGGAAAGGGAGTAGCAAATGGGGAGATGATTTTGGAAAGCCCAGAACGAGAAAGATAACGATTCCGAAGGAGAGGAAACCTCTTACGCCTCTGGGTATCTTTTGGAGGGAGACGTGGACGAGCATTTGGAGGGTCACTTGGTGTGTGGTTCTGGTGTATTCGTATTTGGCGTGGTACGGATAGGCGGATGGCCTAAACCCGGAGAAAAGCAAAACAGGACGGGGAGCATGGTTTTGAGCAAAGGGTGGTCGCTTTTGTGCATTATAGGTTTGTTGGTCATTGGGCATTGCATTCATTCTAAGCGAGGAGGTATCGAGGGATGCCATGCATGGATGGGCGTCATTGAAATTTACGGATCCGTGGACGGGACGGGACCGCACTGGATTCTTTCGAGTGGCCCGGGCCACAGGCGTACGCAGGTAGCATAGCGAAATGCGAGTGAGTGACCGGTCGTGGCGCGAGTTTTGAGAACTGGACTGGCCTGGCTGGGCGGTGTTGAGCCTGTATAATATTTGTATGTTGTTCCAACTACTTACTAACTTACCTAGGTACCTACTTATATCCCAATCTTGTTAGTGGTTACTATTCTCCAGCCACATTGTGTACCTCATGTATATCATGTATATTAATGTCGGTATGGGAATCAGCATTTTCAGACCCGGAGTGTTAAGAAAATTCTCGCTGCAGTAGCACAATGAAACCTCTTTTCTCACTTTAAATTAGTTAGCAAGCATCAGAGGCTGGAGCAACAGTATATTTATTAGTCAGTCTTCTAAAACTGAATCACAGTTCGCGCAGTACCAGAGAAAACAACAGAAATTTTCATTACACCGAAACATCGATTGATTGATTTATCTGTGGACTGATCGAATAAAATCCTATGGTACAACCCAAGCATGCAGCACGCAGCGCATCCAGCCACGCAGAGGACCCCCTCCCCCGCCACCGATGCAGTATCAGAAAAGCGGAAAAGCAAGATGTATCGTATCGCATGTATCCGTCAGCACCGCTCATCTACACATCCATTTATCCATCAGCAAGTGGACAGAATAACGTTCAGGTGACGACCAATTAGCGCCTAGACAGTCAGTCATCCGCAATACACCCTTTTGCGAGACCGGCGCCCGCGAAATAAAAGGCCACGGGAACAGAGGAGAAAAGGACCAAGGAGACAACGCCGAAATATGAAGACCTCAGGTTCCGGTCTGGCGGTCGGTATCCACCGAACTTTTTGTTGGAAGACGACAATTAGGAGCCGAGCCAAGCCAAGATGAGAGAGACTAGTCGACCAAGACATCAACAACACCGCCCTTATTGGGGAAGACTCCATCCTCGGTCCACATTTTAAAGTTGCTGTTGACCCGAGCAACCTCGTCGTGGTCAAGACCCTTCATCCAATTATTGTTCATCTCGAACTTTTCCCTGAAGCGCTCGTTGCGGATATTTTCAAACTTCTGGAGACGCACGCGAGCAGCACTCTCCTTGGTCTTGGGGTCGGTGGTGAGAGGATTACCACTGTAGATGAAGCAATCGGTTCCTGGGGGGCGGTAGATGATCTTGAAAGTTTTCACATCAATATGAAGGTTCAATTGTTCGGTATACCGGAGAGGCTGCTTCATGTTGGTCTCGTTATCGGTGGCCTGGGTGTTGCGCTGAAGAACAGATTTTTGCAGCCTCTGGCGATTGACACCCTCGGTGGGCTCGGTACGGACGTAGGAGGATACGTAGTATTGCCAGCGCTCCTTACGCTCCATCTCATTCATGTTCAAGGTAGTCTCGTCCTTCTGGACCCACTTGATATCTGCTCGTCCGAGGCTCTCTGCAGGCTTCTTACTGGGGACCTATCCATTGTTAGTGCTGCTACAAGAATCATTCAAGAAGGAAAGACATACCCAGCTAATCAAGAAAAGCTCTTGTTCCTTGACAAATTTGTCTGCTTGCTTTCGCAAGTTGATTTCGTTCTTGTATGTGGTCTCCTCAAGACGTCTGTCGCTATAGAAAAGCTCAATCAGATCCGGTGTCTTCTCCTTATTCTCAGAACCTGAGCAGACGGAACCAAATCTGCAGATGGACTTGAGTAAATCTTGGACAGTGTACAGTTGCCAGCCCTTCTTCAGGTAGTAACGTCGGAGCCAGTTCTGGTACTGACTCTCGTCCATTTCGCCTTCAATGAACACGGCGACGTGTTCCAGGGTCTTCTTGTAGTAGAAGATGCTGCTGTCCTTTCCATTTTTAGCCCTATCCTCCTCAGCCGAAATATGGAAGTTGTCAGCGTCAGAGATCAAGCCGAGCAGCCGAGCAGGCTTGTCTTTGGCAGTGACTTTGCCTTCCTCGAAGGCAGTCTTTTCGCAGTCCTTGATCTCTGTCAGGCGGCGGTACAAGGTCTGGAAGATGCTAAAGAAGCAGAAGATATTCTGGTTGGCGTATAGGCTGTACGAGACGCGTTTGCGGGGTTGGTCTGCATCATAAAGAGGATACTCCACGCCAGTGCCCACCTTGTCGATCGCACCTGGTGTCGAAGACATCCAGCGCTGCTCAGAGACCCGGTTGATAGCAGAGTCATCTCCATGCTCTGCATCATCCTCTGCGACAGAATCGACGTCAGGAGTTGACTCTTTGCTTCCGGTAGCACTATCATCCTTGTGGCCCCGACCCCGGACCCCGTTGCGGCCTTTGTCGAGGACGCCACGCCGCAGGTCGTTTTTCTTGCCGTTGCCTGGACGTCTACCTCTGCCGTTGGTGAGCTCCAGCGGGGCAATGTCCTCGGAGTCGTCATCTGGAGTACCTCGGTCAATACCGGCACTGCAGCGAGCAATCTCATCCTCTGAGAAACCAAAGAAGATGCGGACGAAGGTCTCGAAGAAGTTCTGAATGCGAAGACGCTCGTTGGTGTTGTGCTGGCTTGCATTGGCGGTGTAGATGAGCATGATGCGTAGAACGTCGAGAACGACTGCACGGTCCTTGAATTGAAAGGAGAGTTGGAAGGTAGCTTTCTTTCCCGTGGTGGCTCGCTGACGACGCTGCTCTTCATACTTGGTCTTGATGACATCGACGAGGTGCTTTGCAGCAAAATTTTTCTTGTCTGCTTGCTTGGCTTGGATACCCATGTGATCGAGACTCTTCAAGTACATATTGGAGGTTTGGGCGGCCCATACCTTCTCCCACTCACGCTGCTGAACATGTCAGATGTCATCCGACAGGAAGGGCTCTGGTGACTAACCTGAGTGAAACGCCACTCTTCATCCTTTTGCTTCAATCTCGCCAACACGATTGGAAGCACTGCGCATGGGTCCTTGAACAGATCCGCGACAACCTCAGGCCCTCGCTCACCATAGATCTTCTTGAAAACCCGCTTGTAGATAGCTTGACTGAAACCACCGAGACCGATTGGCATGCGGAAATCTGCTCGCGACTCGAGGTCCATGATCGTCAGTGTTTGGGCGATGGGCTCGAGAAGTGAAATGACTTTGGCGTTTGTCTCAATGTTGAAGTCATAGTCGTGCCGCTCTTCTTCAATTCGGTGGAGACCCTCTTCGTAGACATTTTTACGGTGGGCAACGAAACCAGAATCCTCAGAAGCCCATGTTGGATGCGAGGCCCAGTCGTCGTTGAGCACCTCTCGGCACATCTCATCCCGGCCAGAGCAAGGCTTTAGGCGCTCCTGATCACGGTTGTCAATTTTTGTCCATTCCTTGACTTCTTCTCTGACTCTTCCTCTCTCCATCTTCTCTTTGGCGCACAACTTCCTGCGCTTTGATGCACTTTTCCCAACAGAGTCCAGCTCGTACTCCAGCTGATGCTTTGCGTGTTGGCCATGGCCAACGCGGGCGTAGTTGGTACCACTGGGCCCTGCTGGGTTCGGGCAGGCGCTCTCAGAGCATCCAGCTTGGACGTAAGACAATCGGTTGTGAAGAGGGCTCATGGTTGGAAATGGTGCTGAGGGAGTGTTTTGGAAATGAAATGGATAGATTGGAAATGGGGAAAGAATGAGAAGAGGCTGTTAACATATGAAGCTAGGCAGAGCACAATAGGATGGTGATCTGGCGAGGGACAATACCGTTCAACGACAATAGGAAGACTTCCGAAGCTCGCTAAGCTGCGGGAACGGACCCACAATATGAGAAATATGAAAAATGGGACAACGTACTCTTTTTGGAAGCAGGCGATAGCTGGGTCCCAATCCTCTGCAGTTACTCAATGCAACCTTATTGGTAGGTGCCTGTGGCTGGTTATCAATGACAACTTGGTTGCCGTCGTAATTGACGAAGTTCTGGAACCAATTCATTAAATCCGGGTTACCGCCGATAAATGTGCTAACTTTGTGCACGAGGACATTTTTGTCGATGAGGTCTTGCGAGAATAGATTGCAGAGCTTAAGAAATTCGTTCATGATCTGCTTGTTGCCGATGTACTTCTTGACGCGGTCAAAGAAGGCGAGCTCCTCAGACGTCGCGCCGGAGGTAAGGGTAGGAGGCATTGGTTCGGGCATTTGAGGGGTTAGAGTTGGAGACATTGCTGGCGCGTCTGCCGCACTCTTTTGGGTTTGAGTTACTCTTTGTCTCTATGGTATGTTTAGTACACCAATTCGTGACAAGAACAAGTGGGGAAAAAAGCATGGGCGAGGGGGGAAATGACGGGAGAACAAAAACAGAGAACAGAACGCGTCCTCGGGATCTGTTTCTCTCGCATTTCTGAGGCATCGACTTACCTTAGCATTGCCTTGACCCGCACCTCGATTTGATCCCTCTGCAGCACTGGGCTGCGCGTTACGCTTAATCCCCTGCTTCTTATTGCTATCTTTGACAGCGCTTGTAGGCACCGAGAAGGTTCCTGAAGGAGGCAACTTTCCTTCACCGCGAGTAGCTTGTACTTGTGCTTGAGTTGCCTGGTTCTGTTGAGCCTCCTCCGCGGCCTTGGCTGCTGCTGCGGCTTTGGCCTGCGCGGCAGATTCAGGGAGGAATTGCTTGAAGTCTTCGAGTAGGTCCGGCGCTGTGTTGAAGAGAGTCGTGACTTGGGCATACACGTCTTGAATTGGCTTTGATTCTCGCTGGTAGGTTTGCAGAATTTCAAGAAACTGCTTGTAGATTTCGGGTCGGTCTTGGAATCGGTTCTGTTGTTTGTATTAATTAAGATCCGAGGCGGCCGCTAAGCCGAGAAAGTGACTGCCACTAACCTTAATCTTGTTCACATAGCTTATAGCGTGATTGAACTCGACAGGACCTCGTTTTTCCAACCCTGCCTGGGCACCATTGTTCATGCCTGGCTGACCACCGGGAGTCGGTGTTTGCGTATTCCTTGGAGGCTGGCCCAAGGTGCTGGCCACAGCATTTGTCAACTGAGATACGCCTCTTTGTTGCTGCTGGTGCGCCGCCGCCGCCGCCGCTTGGTCATAGGCGCTGTGTGTTGGAGTCTGATTATACATGGGCACAGCGTTCTGGGTTTGAGGGCTGAAAACGGCTTCGGGGCTCTCAATACTGTGCTGTGGCTGCTGTTGCTGTTGCTGCCAATTACCAGTGCGCTGTGGGTTGTAATATCCTCCACTACCTTGGCCGCCTTGGGTCATTACAGATTCAGGAAGAGCACGACCAGCTCCAGTGATGGATTGGACCGTGGTACCCATAGGAGTGGTGACTCTTATCGTGTTTGGATCGTTTCCTGCGCCGCATTCTATCCTATATCCTGGAGGAAGGAAGGTGTTGAAGCCTTGGATCAAATTGGGATGGCCAGCGAAGAGTTCAGAGACACGGTTAATCACGCCAGGGGTATCGATTCTTCAAGTTGTTAGACGATTGATCCCGACTACCGTATGAGAAGGTATAGGAAGGGAACGTACGCTTGGCTTTTAAAGTCTTTCATGATGTCAAGGAAGCGATTGTACACATCAGGTTGATCGGCAAACTGAACCTTTACTTGGTCCAAGTAACTCAAGGCATCCTGTAGTATCATCGTTAGCATACGGACTGCTCTTTTCTCCTAAGCCGTTGTACGCAAAGACACGGGCCTCAACTTCCTGTTCCGAGTTGGCGGATTCATTTCCTGAGCGTCTTGCTAGAGCTAAACATTTCGATTCGACTGCCGGCAAGTTTTCAACGCAAACAAGATTGACGGCACCCGAAGAGCGCAAGGTTCCGTACTGCAGGCATCTTTGCTCGATGGTCTACGTTTACAAAGTTCCAAGAGAGAAAAAGGAGTCGCGATTGTCTCGACCGGCAAGGGTGTGGAAGTTCATGACAGAATGGAAGGACAGAATCTTACATTGAGAATAGGTTGTTGACCGCCTTGGCCGATTTGAGGAGCACCACCTGGTATTGCATGGCCCTGTGGGATAGGTGCCGCACCAAATGGAATACCCGCGATCCTCGAGACGGCTTCTTGCTGTTGTTGCACCTGCTGCTGCTGGGTTGCAAGCGGTCCTCCGAATCCAGCATTTCCACCAGGTCCGCCAACAGAGTTATGATGCAGTATACTAGGTCCGAAGCCTTGCTGTTGCTGTAGCTGGTTCGTGGCCTGCTGAGGGTTGTGTTGAATGGGGCGACTTGCTTCACTATGCAGAGGTCCACCGAAGGCATTCCCAGGCCCGCTGGGCGCACCGAGAGGACCTGACGGCGGCGCACTACCATGATTTGCGAGCAGACCACCAGGACTGTGTATGGCACCTGGCAGTCGTGATGCTACGGGTTGGTGAATGGTTATCGGACCAGTATTGGCTTGGTGGGGTGGTGGAGGCTGTTGGTATTGCTGCTCTCGCATCTGCCTATCTCTATCATTGCGTTCACGTTCACGCTCGCGCTCATGTTCTCGTTCCCGCTGCAGCTGTTCTTCTCGCATCGCATCTACTCTGCGCTGCTCCTGAGGATGGCGGTCTTGGTCGAAGCCCCCTGGTGGACCATGAGGCTCGTTATTCATGGTTGCTTGACTTTACGACAGTAAAGCTGGCAGAAAACATGTGAGATAGATGGTAAGCTTCGATCTTCACGTCGACACGTATCCATGCGACTATAGCGCTCTGGCAAACGTCAGTTGTGCTGCGCTGTTGCGGGTTGAGAAAAGGAGTTTCAGAACGAGGCGTTACGTACCACAAGCGAAAAAACTGTCCAGACGATGATGCTTTGTAAAGAGTACCGGGTCGGAATTCACAGTGGTTAGAATGGTCGGGGATTGATTCACAGCCGTGTAGACAATGGAGTGTATTTCGGGGGGGTTGAAGAGCTTGTCTGAATAGACGGGCAAAGTGGCTGCCGAGACTGAGTAGCGCACGGCTGCAGCCTCGCGGATCGTCACTGATCTTAGTAAGTACTTCCTTGCTTATTTTATCAGACTCCTGAGGAGCCCGGATTCAAGAATCTGTAAGCTGCTGTCGTTTAGAATTTCAAGGGTAATTTTGATCGAGGATCTAGATATCGAAGCATGGTTGACGGCTGTTCAGGTCTTGATCAGATCATTGAGTATCTGAAGTTACAGATCACAGGGCATTTGTTTGTCCTCGGTGTTTTTGATGGTCCTTGGAGCTAGTGCGTTGGGCTACAGGATAACCTGACTATGCGTAACATACGCTGCGTATGTCTGCAGAGCGCCCCAACCATAACTCGAAAAGAGCTCAGAACTATTGGATTGAAAGTGAATACGCTGTTCAATTGCTTCGTTCGAAGATATAAACCAGTTATTTCCAAAGAAGGTGATGCTGGGGCAGCGTAATAAAATGGCCATAGCTTCGTGAGTTTGGAGAGTAGCAGCGTATCTCACTTATTAGCCAGATTACCAAACATAGGTACCATGTGCGTATACCGGAAGCTATTGGGCTACCATTGCATCTCGTTCTCGACTGCCTCTTTGCTCAGGACCTTTCTTCCTCCCCAGCGAATGATGGCTAGGTATCTTAAGAGCGCCAAAATAAGGAGCTGACACATCAGCAAGTCCCTCGAGGCTCGATGAGCCCACGCGTGGATCTCCGTCTCATTCATCTCCTTCCCAACAACTGTTCTTCTTCATTACTCGTGCCCGCAAGCAAGTTGACGGTTTTCCAATCCCATAACATCTAACCCATGATATCAACCCAGCCCAGACTCCCCAAGTCCCGAAATCGACGGCAGAGGCACCGTTGCAATTCATACATAATTCCTCACTCCCTTCAAGATCCAAACTTCTCCATTATGGACCCTACTCGCTACAGAAGCAACCTCGATATTCCCCGGTTGAATCTACACCTTATCAGCCCAGTTTCATCACAGGCACCATCCACTCCTTTCTATTATTTCAGACATCAAAAGGAGCAGCACTCACCATCTTCCTCCCCTCTTTCTCCTCCCACCACACCTCTTCTCCACTCAAAGTCCTCGCCCTGTCTCCCTCCTTCCACTCGCCCTTCTCCTTCTCCATCCCCACAACATGCGTCTCCACAAACCTCCTCATGTTCCGATGGGCCCGCTCCTCCCCCTTCTCGCCCTCGTAAGCGCTCTCCCCAAGACTATCGTAGTCTTTCGGATCCTCCCACGGTTTCCTCGGTAGCGCCATGATGGCGCTGTTGAGGGGCGCCAGGATGGTGGTGTTGAGCGAGGAGTCTTCGAAGCGCTGGGAGAGGGAGGCGAAGTCGCGTGTGAAGCCTGCGAAGATGTTGATGCTGCGGTCGTTTCCGAGGACGTCGGAAAGCATCACGGAGCCCGAGGGGGGCGAGGACGGGGTATCTGAGGAGGGTGCTGGTGGGTGAGGAGGCATGGCGGGTCCGAGTTGGGGTGCTGGTGATAGTGGTTTCTGCAGGATCGCGGACGTTGTGAAGGGGAGCAATAGCAGAGCGTAGCTGAGGGTCGAGGTTTTCATTTTGTTGTGAGACTGAGGGCTTAGGGTTGGTTGTGATTGATGGGAACGATGACGATGGTGGGCGGGTTGGATGTGTCTTGGCATTATACCCTTAGGCTTCGGTTCTTCACGCTTGATGACTACCGGTATCATATAAGAATTTTACATATGTGTCGGGAACTGATTCTCCAGACTCTATGAAATGGTTGATCTTTTCCTGGGTTTTTACATCTTCGTTTCTTGATTAGGAGAGAAGTGGTAAGTCTGAGTTGCTTTTGGTCACACTTTTTCTATTTATTCTTCGCTGGTTACAAGAATCTGTCATCTGTTCTTCCACGTTTATCATTTCCCCCAGGACCTTCTCTCGACTGTCAGTGCTCTCAAAGCAGCCACTGAGCTCTGCGCCGTTAACGCCTTGCCCGGCTGTTCCAGTAATTTCATCGCGGTCAGTGATCATCACGATGAAGGTCATCCTTACTGGCTCAACTGGCTTTATCGGCAATGCATTACTGGAACAAGCCCTCAAGCATTCTTCACGAGATTCTCTCGTCTGTATCATGCCGACCTTTGCCCGGCACGATCACCAGCAAGGCATCAGGTATCTACGGTACGTGAAGACCTTCCAGTAACTTTGGGTGGATCGGTAATATATCCTCATTTACTGGTTAGTGGAATTGCTGCAATCCTCTTCTTCCTCGGGCGCTGCTCTATCCGTGGCGTCTGGTTTGTCTACTATAGACAAAACGGAAGTGATGCTCGTGCTCGGCTCCTGGAGTGTGAATTCCAACAAATGCCTCCCAAGCGGCCAATGGTCTGGATATCAGGCACAAGAATTACCGTTCGCCACCCTTTGTAGCGACAGCCGATCCGTGCAGCAGCAGGACTCCACTCCGTAGATAGACGGAAATGTATACATTTCCCCAAGTCAGCCCACAAAAGCCATGACAATATATATATTATATACATATATTTTAGTATCTATTTATGACAACAAGCAAAAAGCCATACCACTCCGGGGAATTCCAAATTTGTCACAGGGACTTTTTCACATGTCATGAATGATACTTACCTATATGCGGGGCTCGGGTCATCTGACAGCCACAGTCGCTAAAAGTCTGGAGAAGCGGAGAAGCTTTGTCTGAGGGGCTGCACGGTCCTTCGCATGCCGGCCACCCCGGAGTCCGTCAGTCGATTCCCCAGGAAATGGAATCGGAGCCAGACGTTAGGATGGATATTCGTATGGCCGTGGGTTTTGTCGAGGAGCCTAGTTACCGACCTAGCTACCGAACCTAGCTACCTTCAGCTACCTTAGGTCAGTTACAGTACTCAGATCTCAGATGGCTGACATGGAATTTCCCCCAAGTGCCCTCACTAAGTAGTCACTGCCTACCCACCCCACCTAACCTTCCTAGCCTTTCCTAACCTACTCCCCTACTAACTTCCATCCTCTCGGGATATCTTTGTCTGCATTGTCCCGCTGACTGAACCCGGTCTTCTCATTGGCCAGCAAATCAAAGTCAGCCCCGGCCCCCCTGTTCCTGCCTCGGCTTGCGCAATATCCAGACAAAACCACCGACATCTCCACCCATCTTCCATCTTGACTGCTACAAGAAAACTCCTCCCAAGAAAACCCTTCTCCTTTTCTCCATCTCTATCTCTATCTCTATCCCGACTTCCTCTTCAAAATCCTTCAATATGGCACCCAGAGTTATTGTCGTCGGCGGTGGACGTGAGTTAGCCCCCAGTCGCTTCACCCCCCTCTCCCCCCACCCAATCAATTCCATTGCTGACTTCAGTTCACAGTGTCCGGCCTGAGTGCTGCGCATACTATCTACCTGGCTGGTGGCAACGTGGTTGTGCTCGATAAGCAAGGTAGGCACAATTACTCTTACTACTATCTACCGACCTATGATTGCCAGTCAGTCTCTAACAAGTATCCAGGCTTCTTCGGCGGAAACTCGACCAAGGCCACCTCCGGAATCAACGGTGCCCTGACTCGGACACAAGTCGACTCCAATATCTCAGACAGCGTCAAGCAATTCTACGACGATACCCTCAAGTCCGCCAGAGACAAGGCGAGACCAGACCTGATCAAGGTCCTCACGTACAAGTCTGCAGCTGCGGTCGAGTGGCTTCAGGATGTCTTCAACCTCGATTTGACTCTTGTTTCACGGCTAGGGTATCTATAAATAACTCGTACGGCATCTACGATCACTTGCTAACACACTGCTCAGAGGTCATTCCCAGCCACGAACACACAGAGGCCACGATGCCAAGTTTCCTGGTATGGCCATCACATACGCTCTGATGCAAAGACTCGAGGAGCTCGCAGAGAACGAGCCCGAGCGGGTACAGATCATCAAGAAGGCCCGCGTGACAGCAGTGAACAAAGATGGTAATAAGATCACCGGTGTCTCTTACGAGTTTGAAGGGGAGCCGTATACCGTTGAGGGACCGGTCGTCTTGGCCACTGGTGGATATGCGGCCGATTTCACAGAGACATCGCTGCTCAAGAAATGGCGCCCAGATACCTTTGACTTGGCTTCTACCAATGGCGTACATGCTACTGGTGATGGACAGAAGATGGTCATGGCCATTGGCGGTAACGGAATCGATATGGACAAGGTTCAGGTGCATCCTACTGGTCTGGTCGACCCTAAGGACCCAGGCTCGAAGTGGAAATTCTTGGCCGCTGAGGCTCTCCGTGGTGAGGGTGGTCTTCTCCTGAACGGAGATGGCGATCGTTTCTGCGACGAGCTCGGCCACCGTGATTACGTTTCCGGCGAGATGTGGAAGGAGAAGGACAAGGGCAAGTTCCCTGTCCGTCTCCTCCTTAACTCCAAGGCCTCGAACGTTCTCGACTTCCACACGCGCCACTACTCCGGCCGTGGTTTGATGAAGAAGATGACGGGTAAGGAGCTTGCTAAGGAGATTGGCTGCACTGAGGAACACCTCCAGTCCACCTTCACCGCCTACAACGAGATTGCCGATGGCAAGAAGAAGGACCCATATGGCAAGAAGTTCTTCCACAACGGCCCCGTCGATATTAACGACGACTTTCACGTCGCCGTCATGGAGCCCGTGCTCCATTTTACCATGGGTGGTATCGAGATCAATGACAAGGCCGAGATTCTCAACTCGGAAGGCAAGCCCTTCGAGGGTCTCTACGCTTGCGGTGAGCTGGCTGGAGGTGTGCACGGTGCAAACCGTCTTGGAGGATCATCCCTCCTCGGCTGTGTAGTTTATGGCCGTGTCGCAGGCGATACCGCTTCCAACTACCTGTTCCGCAACGCCTTGAGCGGCGCTGGTGGAGTCGCTGCCTCCCGTCTGGGCCAGATCTCCCTGCACATCGACCCTAATCAGCCAGGCAAGATTTCCGTCGAGTGGGACAGCGCTGGCTCCTCTTCCGATTCTCAGATCAGCTCGCAATCACAAACATCCGCCGCCCCCGTACTCAAGCAAGGGGCCGATTCTGCGGACCCAGGAAAGGTCAGCAAGCCCAACAAGGCTGCCTTCAAGATCCCCGAGAAGGAGTTTACGATGGAGGAAGTTGCCAAGCACAACACGAAGGAGGACCTCTGGGTTGTAGTCAAGGGCGTCGTGATGGATGTGAGTGACTGGCTAGATGAACACCCAGGTGGACCTCAGGCGATCATGAACTTTATGGGTCGAGACGCCACGGAGGAATTCGAGATGCTGCATGACGACGAGGTTATTAGGAAGTACGCGCCCAGTCAGGTTATCGGGCGCGTGAAGGGACAGGAGATTACTTTGGAGGCATAGACGTGCGAGGCTCTTTTGGATGGGAAGCGGATGCCGGGGTGTATTGATATTTTTTGACTGGATGATTGGGATGGTCATGGGCTCTTGGGTATCAGCCTATGCATAAATTGCATTTGTCCATCTTTTTGCCTTTGCTTTTGAATAGATACTCCTGTTGCCTTGTGATTCCTTGCTTACCTAGGATGTGACGGTACGAGAAGTGAGTAGGGTTAGAGATCGTAAGTAGAGCTAGCTGGCTGCAGGTAGCATGCGTGGAAGAGGTGACAGCCGTACAGCCGTTCGTTTCGTTACACCACGACGATAATTTGTCATTTCTGGGTACAAAGACTAGCGCCCTGCCTATTGGAGCATTAGAGCTAACAGCTCCTTACCGGTCTTGTTTCTTAGCCTTTCTTTTGTTGGAGAGAGATGGATGTATATGGTCGCGGACAAGTTGATGATTTGGAGCTTTGAGCGAGGGCTGCAAGTGCCGAGAGCATAGGTACGATACGGTACGATACGGTACGAATGAAGTAGGTACCTCCGTTAGAAGCACAAGCAGAGCAGAGGAGGATGTAATCGTCGGCTCGCTTAGGTGGGGGGGCCTCTTATCACCCTTTCGGTCTTAATCGGTAGTCGGTATGTAAAGCACTTGCGGATCAGCGGAAGCAAAAATGCGGCTCTTTACAGACGTCGCAACTTTTGGGGCCCGTCCCTAAAGTGGGCGTGGAAAAAAGTACGTCCCCCGAGACGAGTCGGTCCCTCGTCGGATTGTTTTTCTGGATATTTCTTATAACATACCCCACGAGGCTTGATAACAAGAAGTTGTAGTCTGTTAATATGCGAGTATGCGGATTCATATATTGGATTTTCCATATTCTGATATTATTAGTTATCGTCCTATTGGGGTTTTCATATAGTATTGATTTGCGGAGGTACAGCGGTTGAGTGTCGTAACCCTCGTCGACCCACGGCTACTATTTCTTACCCACTTGGGCAATAACGTGAGGGCTAGGCACGGAATTTTGAAGAACCTCATTGTAACAGAACCCGATCAAGTTAGAAAAAGTGGCTGTTGGTCGATGAGGGTTGCGACACTTGACGGATGTTCCTCCGTAATAGAAGATTCGCTTGGTTTTGGTATACTCGAATCGTCAAAATCGGTAAAAGGCATTGAAAACTAATACTTTTTTTAACTCGAAACTTAACAACGCAAACACACACACACACACACACACACACACACATATATATATATATATATATATATATATATATATATTCACTGTATCGATACTTTACGAATATTCTAAAGTTTTCATTCTTATAGATTCAATATTCGTGAAGATGCAAGCGATTAATATTGTTTGAAATCGTTACAAAAGCTTTTGAAAATCCACATTTCCTGCAATTGCAAGCTTTTTAATATAAATCGATATATATATTCTTAGCATGTCAATGATTTGCGAATATATCTATCTATCTTGATATATTATTTTTATTAATATAGCTTTCACACTTATCAAGACGCATGCGATTGGCATCGGGATTTGTATTGGATTTTTGCTTGATTTTGGTGGTATTTGACGGGGGACAGACTTATTTCGAGGGACATACTTTTTTCGCCCACTTTACTAGGTATAAGGAAGGGCCCCAAAAGTTGCGAGGTCAAGTCCCACTATTACTGATAGTCAGCGTCTTTTTGTTTTTATGTCGAAGATCATCCTACGGAGTAAATCTAAAAACAAGGTTATGCTTAGCTAGGTGGCTATTCATAGTATTGCAGTGTTAATTCCTTTCCAATCTGAAAAGATCAACGTACGAAGTACAGACGGTACGAATCTCAACAGCAACAATTCAACAACGACTTAACCAATCGATTCTCAGGAGCCAATGCCTGTCCAACTGTGATTACTTACCTACTCATATTCTCGATTAAACGACAGCTTCATTCTGCTGTGCCTGTGCCTGTGCCTGTGCTTGTGTCGATGTCTGTCTGTATCCCCTTGCCCTCCCCTCCCCCACCTCGATCCTTTTCGTGATCACTTTCGCCCAGTCCATCCCAGCCCAGCCCAGCCCAAAATCCCCGGCCTTTAAACTTCCTGATGCTCAACTCCAACTCCTTCCCGCTTTCTCCCCACACATCCCCACACAACCAACACCAACCACAACAAAAACGCCAACGCCAACAATACCACCGCCACACCACTACACCACTACACTACGACACCACTACACCACACCAGTCCTTCCTCCTCCTCCTCCTCGCCCTCCGCCGCCGACTCCCAGTCCACTCCCAGTCCTCTAATTCATTGTTTCCTCCATCCATCGGTCCATCCGTCCGCCCATCCGCCCATCCGCTCGTCCGCCCGTCCATCACCAAACACCGCCAGGGAGTCAGTCTGCGAATAAAGTTCTGGGGATTGGATCGAATCGAATCAGGGACTACATTGGAAACAGGGCCTGCGAATGTCTGCCCCCGCCATAGGATACACCTCTGCGAAAACTCCCGTCTGCCAATGGGGATGCCTGTTCCCAAGCACCGGAACCCGATGATCACAGACGAACCTTCATCCCAAGCTCCTCGACGACAACATCGACCCTTATCCGCGCCGACCTGACAAACCCTCCTCTTCCACCATGGCAATAGCCATGGCCTGGCAGAAGCCCGACAATGTTGCTGGATCTTCAGCTCCGGCGATCATGATCGGCCTATTTGTCGCCACCGGGGGGTTGCTGTTCGGATATGATACTGGGTGAGCTGCTCCGGAACTGAAGGCTGGCTGGTAGGAGACTGACGACAGGGGTGCAGTATAATATCCGGAATACTGGCTATGAAGGCCTTTCGCGACGAGTTCTCGACCGGGTACGTCGATCTGCACGATCACTTACCCAATGTATCGCCGGCTCAGTCTTCCGTGATTGTTGCGATATTGAGTGCTGGGACTTTTTTTGGGGCACTTCTAGCAGCACCTATGGGAGACAAACTTGGTCGCCGCATATCCCTTATAATCGCTGTGGCCATCTTCGCCATTGGCACCTTATTACAGACTGTGGCTTTGGCAATCATGCTACTAGTTTGGGGAAGGTTTATTTGGACCTTTGCTTCAACAACCGATATGGCCACTAACGCGGTACAGGTTCTTTGCCGGCCTGGGTGTCGGGACCATCTCAGTTCTCGTCCCACTATACCAATCTGAAATGGCTCCGAAATGGATTCGAGGTACTCTCGTCTGTGCATATCAACTCGCCATTACCACTGGTCTCCTGCTCGCCGCAATTGTCAACATATTTACCGAGTCGATACCCCACACGAACGCTTTCCGTATTCCCCTGGCGTTGCAGTTCATCTGGGCCGGCACTCTCCTCCTTGGGCTGCTTCTCTTACCAGAAACACCTCGCTATCTTATCAAGCGAGGCTCACATGCCGCCGCAGCATTATCTCTTAGTCGCTTACGGCGGCTTGATATCACTCATCCTGCCCTAGTCGAGGAGCTTGCTGAGATCCAAGCTAACCATGAGTACGAACTTAGTCTTGGTCCATCAACATACCGAGACGTCTTCTTGGGCTCGCCACATCTAGGACGTCGCCTTTTGACTGGTTGTGGCTTACAGATTCTACAGCAATTGTCTGGCTGCAACTTCATATTTTACTACGGCACTACGTTTTTCACCCGCATCGGCATTCAATCCCCTTATATTGTCGCCCTCGTCGTCGCCGTAGTCAACGTTGTCTCTACCATTCCGAGTATGTTCCTCGTTGAATCACTAGGGCGGCGTCGTCTTCTCATGTTTGGTGCTGGGGGTATGGCTATCTGCCAGCTCGTAGTCGCATCTGTCGGGACAGCCATTCCTAATTCATACGCGGCGAACATGATTCTCATAGTCTTTGTCTGCATCTACCTCGCTTTCTTCGCCGCTTCTTGGGGCCCAGTTGCCTGGGTGGTTACCTCGGAGATATATCCTCTCAAAATTCGCGCGAAATCGATGTCCATCTCCACAGCGTCGAACTGGCTTCTCAACTTCTCACTCGCCTACGGCACTCCTTATCTCGTAAATTCCGGTCACGGCTATGCGAATCTGCAAGCGAGGGTGTTCTTCATCTGGGGTACATTCTGCGCAATATCTGTCCTGTTCGTCTGGCTCATGGTCTACGAAACCAGCCGAATCAGTCTCGAGCAAATCGACGAAATGTACGAGCGCGTCGATCACGCATGGAACTCCAGGGCATTTGAACCCAGCTGGAGCTTCCAGGTGATGCGCGATGAAGGTGTGTCAGCTAGTGGGATACAGCTTACTGATACCGAGGAGTCGAGACGGCGAACTGGCACGTGGACTAGTACGGCTGAGAGTGGCACCACGATGACCGAGGAAGATAAGATCATTGCTCAACTGGGCGATGTGGATTTAAGCTATTAATGATTTTTGTGGTTACGTTTTGTTCTTCAGCGTGGAGTTTTCGTCGGGGATTTATTTGGGTATACGCACCTGTGGCGTTTTCAGGGCATAGGAATTGGCACCGGGGTATCTGGGACTTGGCCCTCGGAAGGAAGGAATCATCTTTTCGGCGATCTACAACTACAAGGGTGGTTCTAAATGAGGAGCTGTCGTTGAGGAACAACATATTCCATTCTACTGTTTCATATCAACCAGATCTTGCACTGGAAGATGCGAGGAGGAGGAGGAGGTGTGGAGATGCCGCCAAAAAGTGATGGATTGATAAATGTTAGATAATTAGCTAACCCTTGTATCAGGGTCTTGAGTTACCAGAGCACCTGTTAGTAGGAAAATGTATCTAATTCATTTTCATTTGATACCCCCCCTTTGTCTGGTCCATTTTATTTACCTTGTTCCTTCTCATCATTCCCTCGGCTCGGTCATCATCTTTCGGCTCCGGAAGTAACTCCGTGCCTGGTCTTTTTTTGCGGCGGATGGGGGGCGGGGGTTCATCTTTTGTTTCTCGTCTCACTTGATGGAAACCAGATCCTTACCCCGATGATTCTCCCCGATCTCCCGGTACGTAGCCACGCGCACGCGCACGCGCACGCCCATTTGTCTTCCTCTCTGCACACCTGTTGCGAATCTGTTACCCTCTTTACCGTCAGTTGGCTCTCCCCGCAGCATTCATTCTTTCTTGGGGATTTCTCTACCTACAGCCTGATTCATTGATAAGAGGCAGGTGCCATGTGTTGGTTGGATATGTGTGCCGAGGCTATTTCCCTGGGCTTTTTTTTTTCTTTCTTTCTTTCTTGCTTTCTTGCTTTCTTGCTTTCTTGCGGTCTTGCGGCGGTGGTGGTTCTGATTGGGGAGGGGGGATTGGTGTTGTAGCTTGTGTGGGATTGGATTGGATTGGATTGGATTGGAATGGATTGGAATGGATTGGAAGGAAATTGCGGTTGGGAGAATTTGGCTCAGGGGTATACGAATGAAGTGTACGAAGTTCGCCTTTGGATGATGTTGTCAGCCGACCTGACCTGTCTTGGTATAAGCAAGTCTCTCTTCGAGCTCTAACAAGCTATTGAACTTGGGATATGATTCGTTTGATAGCTTGCGGCATGGCTTCTGGAATGATAGGTATATATATATATATTGTATTTACCTTCTGGCGCCCTGTTTCTCAGCTTTGGAAAGCACGAGCCCTGACAGCTTAGCAGGCCGATCTCTCTTTCCAGATCCCCTCTTCCTCCTTTTGACGGCAGTACGCATGTTCTCTTCCCAGGTGGTCCTCCCGAAGAACAGTTTCCGTGCCGCGTTCATGTCGCGGAATCGTGCCGACAACGAGACTATTCTACTCTCGAGTCTGCCCGACCGACGGATGGAAAGGCGACATGACGTTCAACTCGTTTGCCACCAGTTGCTATGTATGTATGGGCTTCGCACGCACGAGCGAGCAACGAGCAGGACTTCTTCCCGGATCTATGCGGAGGAGATCTAATGCTTGATGCCCGTCAAAAGAGCGGACTTCGAGGTCCGTGGCGGTTTGGGGCCGGCCTCGTTGGGATGGATCGAGGGCTGACGGATCTCTGCCCCCCTCGAAAGCTTTTGGAGCGCGTCCTGTGCTGACGGCTCTTGTTTGTTTGTGATTTCGCCCCCCCTCCGAGATCTACACGGTCCGAGCATGGCTGTGTGGGTGCAACGGTTTATAGGGTGGTGGGCTGGTAGCCGTGGCGTTCGGTGACGATATCAACCGCGGTTTTTCTCCCTGTTGGAAACTGCGCTATTACGTGCCTCCCTGGTATCTGTGCGCATCATGCTTTTATCTTAGCAGTGCTTGGGGCGCTGAGGTTAGATCATCCTTCGCTGGCTTCGGCTTCTTCGCCTTGGATTTCAATGTCGGGCTCACTTTCTCTGGACAGATTCGGTTGCGGTACGACTGCCTCGATCTCGATCTCGATCTCGATCTCCCTCGGGGCAGCGCGGGTTGGGTTGACTGTTGGAGTTTTGCACCTTCATCCTGTGAGTTCTGTCGGAAAAGTATACCTCTCGAGCTAGTGAGGTAGCTTGTAGTGTGTTGTTCATACCTTTGCTCTGCCCAGCTGGACCGCGATGGGCATTCACGCCCGATGTAAGAGTCGACGAGACCTGAGAGTTTCATCTCGCAGCGAGCTGGGTACCGTACGGGGACTTTCGAGATGGATGACGACATAGAAACAAAAGGGGGATTGGGAATCAGGCTTCGACCGAAAGAAAAGAATGTTTTTTTTAAAAAAAAAAAAAAAATATTGAGAGGGAGAGGGGGCCGACGTCCTGCCAGTTCTTGTCCCACGATACAAGCCTTGAAGATAGCGCCCCATGTTTCGCATGAGCTGTTCATGCAGCTGGCCGTGGTCTGTCGTTACCTTTTGAAGAACGCAAAACTGCCCACAAGTTTTCGATCCCTCTGCATGCTGCGCGACCCCGTTGGTTCGCTTGGTTCGGGGAACTGCGTCCAAGATCAAGCGAGTGTATTGGTAGTAGAGTTTCCCTCGCGTGGTTTCTTTCGTTCGTTTACTTGTGTTTTACAGCGCTCGTTTCTCCCTGGTTGAACGTGGACCGCCAGCTGTCGAGTGTGTCCGTGTGTGTAGGTATGTGGTACGGGGCTAGGAATGTCAGAATCGTTGTTGGATTCTAATTGGGAACACTTTGGGGATTGGATATAGCTATGTGGATATCTCAGGCTATTTTCATGGTTCGATGGCAGACGAAAGAATCAGGTCGTTTCTTGGGTACCACCCACCCACCGGCCGTTTTCTCGTTTAGCTAGAGGAAGCGTTGGTTTATGGTTGAGATGTCGCCCGAGTGTCTAGAGGAGTATATACATTTGTTTACTCCCTAGGCAGCACTCGGCTACATCGATATATCAGCCTGGCCACGCTAAATTTAAGAGGCTACTATCATCTTTGACTTTTTCTCTTGCTTTATAATTTCCTAATCGGAATTCGTCGCATGGTTAACCAGATAGGAGCTGCTGATATCTCGAAAGAAGAAAGGTGGATTTTCCGAGGGCGTCCTGCTATTTGGTCTAGGAACGAACATATCCTCACAGAGTTTTAGTCAGGACCTTTCCTCGCAGCACGGCTTCTATCGATCGCATCGCTGCTCAAAGCCACGATCTGACTCGGTCGGACTCATCTCCGAGATGTGTGTTTGAGCTGTCAGGCACGATGCAGTACGACCTGTGTTCTGTCAAGCGGCATGCGATTGAGGTGGCAGCTCAACTGACCGGCCAAGATGGCAAATTCGTACCACTTATGCGAGATTTGGCTGCTGAAGGGTCGTTTGTCTCGACTTGGAAGCGAGTCAGGGCGAGTGTGAATTCCCGGATTAGCTGGGCCCGTCCAAGGCAATCTGATTCGGAGATCAACCTAGACACTTGAGATCGCAAACTTTGAAGAGGCACTTCCTGAATGTGCGGGATCCACCTGTATTGTCTGGAGAGATCTAAGGGACGGCGATGACCATCGGTCGAAAGGAATATCATGACCTGCTGTCCAAACCGACTTATCGTAGAAGATGTATGCACGCCGTTGCTAGTCTGTCTCTGTGAAATCAAGAGGCCACCAGGCAGGTATGAGTAATTACGTGTTTCTGTGTCGCGGAGTCCCTTCCGAGCCTATATCTACCTCCCCCTCCCAGCGCCCTCCGAGCCAGAACCTTTTCCCGCAACACTCCAACCAAGTTTCTCTCTCTCCCTTCCGACGAGAGATATCGAGCCCGCGAAGAGGGAAAAGAAAAAAAAGAAAAAGATAAATTCTAATCTCGGCACCCTCTTGCGACATCCGAGCCTTTCCCATACCCATCCACCATGTGCAACCAGATCATCTGGCACTTCACCTGCACCCACGTCAGAGTCGAGGTAGACCAATGTCCCGCCCCGAGCGGACCAGCGTGCACGCGGTTCAGCGAGCGAAGCAAGCCCGGGGCCTGTCCGGACTGCGGGAGGTATTGTCCTGTCTGCAAGGACGCGGTTCCGAAACCGCCGAGGTACGGCGACGATGGCAATGCTGAGGGTCTGCTGTCGGAGTGTTTGGGGAAGAGCTGTTAGTCGGGTATGCACGAGAAGAGGTCTAAGTTTTCGCCTCGTTTGCCCTCTGCGGAATAGATGTGTCGTTGGACTGGATATTCGATTCAGGCAGAGGGGAGAGGTGGAAAGGGGGCTGGATCTCGCTTAGCGACCCGGTCGGTTTAGACGTGCTTCGCTTCACGGTCTGGATTGAAGCTCTTCAATGCATCACTGAGAATCTCCCCCCCCCTCCAAAGAAAAACAAGAACAAAAAAAGGCCTACACGTCGCCATATATGATTTCATACGCATCTTGACGGTCAAGTGAGCCAACGTAGCATTTCCTTTCTCTCTTCGTATTCACCGAAGCTGGTTCTGCGCCACAGACTCCGTACCTTCCCCACTTGCACATTCCACACCCGCCAGACCAAAACTTCGAGCCACGCCAAGTCCTCCATCGCGCTAAGCCCCAAGCCCCAAGCCCACGGCCCAGTCATCGCGAGTTCAAAAACCAACGCCTCCTGACTGAAATCTTGCATCGCCAATTCACAGTCATCGCCATGCTCAGCAGACTCAGGGTCCAGACAAACACGAGTGTCGTGTCTCTTGAAAACCTCATGACGAAACCTACCTCCCTTGTGTATATTTAAAAACATTTATTTATATACATATATATATATATATATATATCCAACCACTCACTTACTTACTTACTTACTCGCCTCTCTCAGCGCCACTCCACACACCTCCCTCAACAACCACCGCCCGCATCCTCCAGTGACACGTAGATAGGTAGATACACCGCTCCGTCTCCGTCACCCACCACAAGGGAAGAAGAGCAGCTCTACATCCCAGTATCCCGCCCGCACCTCCTCCTCTACAGCTATCTAGATCACAGGAGATCGAGCCTCGCTCCTCCGCCTCCGAGGCGTGCACGTAGCAACAAACGATCGTACCAGCACTGCGTCGAATTTGGGGGGGGGGGAAACCGTCTGGACGCTTCGACCGGCTCGACCGCTGCCGGTCAGGAATCAATCAGCCACAGGGATCCGGAGCAGGCAACGAGCCTGAGATGGCGAGAGAAAATGCGGTATGGTACAGTACTTGGGCGCTTGGGAGATGCCTGGAATCGTATCCGGTCGTCCGAGCTCGGATGAGGATTTACGTGAGAGCGAACGAGACATTTTTCCTTCCCGATGGGGAGACATAAGTGCCTCCTCCTCTTCCTGCTTGGGCTCCCGACACTCTTCCAGCCATGAAATAGCCTTCGCGCGGCAGAAGATAAAGGGTGTTTTCAAAAGCTATGCATACAAACGCGCGCCTCAATTCTCACACATCTGGCACTGGTCCAATTTTTTCTTCTATGTGAAGGAAGTATGCTGGAACTATCGTTGAAGTTTATACGACTATAGCGCGTTTTATATCCTAGCCCAAATATCCCGTATAAAGAAATCATAAGTCATCAACGTGTACTGGTCTACTGACCCATCTAACCTACAGTTTACCCGCCTCCCCCTCTCCCTCCCCTACCCGCCCATGCACATCTCGCCTTACCAACCAATTATTATTCCGCTGTCGAATGAAGCATACCCTCTTTCAAGACGCTGTTCAAGAAGCACCAAAGAGTTTGCTGACCGAGAATCGGCTCCCGCTCTTCGTGTTGGGCTTCTTGACGGAGCTCCAAGACTCGGAGCGAGAGTTCGAGCCTCGGATCTGTTGCTGGCGGTTTGGCAACTGGATGGTTTGTTGTCTCGAAGGACTTTCGTCCTCGTCGCTGGAGGAGCTTACAAGTCAGTCTTACAATCCAAATATCTTCAACGGATCGAGCATGAACGCATCTGGTTTGGGTTGCCTACTGTGATGGAAAAGGCTGCAGGCAGAGAGGATAATTCGAGACTCACGATTCGTAATTGATGCGTGTCACAAGATCCGCGGGCTCCCCTCTCAGCGCCCTCTCTACCCCCTGGTACTGACGTCTGTAATCATCATGCTTGGTCTTGGCCTCCAGAAATCTCTTCTCGGACTGCTTCTTCCTCTCCATCAGCGCCGCCATCTCGGCATCCAGCTGGGCCATTTGCGCCTGCGCGTTCTGCATGCGAGAGCTGTACTCCTTGACCTTGCCGTCCAGTGGTTGGAGAACGCTGGTCATGATCCGGGGGCTCTCAAGGCGTTGGATACTGGCACCTGCAGCGGCATTCTGAATCTGGATGGATGCGGCTCTGGCGGTGGAGATGACAGGCTCTGGCGACTCCGGACCACTTGATCTGTGAGGGGAATGGTTCTTGGGGGGAGAGCCGTGACGCTGATCACGCGCCATGGGCATGGATTGATTGGGACTGGCTTCTGCTCGAGAGTTCTGAATTTGGACGGCTCTCCCGGTCGAGGATTGCGGAACGGTGTTTTGATCTCGGTATTGCACCTCTTCGGAATCGGTTCGGCGGTATCCGCGTCTCTTTGGTTGTTGCACTTGCTGCTGCAACACTGGGTCTTCGTATTGAGGTCCGTCGTAGGTTGGTGGCCGAGACATGTCGTGCGACACACCACGGGCGGAAGACGGGTTGTTTGTATTTGTCGGTGAGTATTGCTCGGTCAAAGAAGCTCGTCTCTATGATTATATCAGAAAGATGATCTAGAGAGGGCAGGCGAGCCGACTCACGTGATCTTGGATGGGAATGTCCATCGTTCTCGGGTTTCTAGTGGGCGGGCGTTGATTGATGTTTTGTCCATCTGCATCGTAGTACTTGGGGTAATGCGGTCCACTACCTCGTCGATCGTTGTATTCTCGAGGTGCAGTCCTGTTGGGAGAGTTCTGCATGTTGTTGAGAGGCAGCTATCCGTCGTTTCGCACAATGTCTCAGAGTGACAACAACACAATAATATCCTTTGGGATCCAGGATTGTTCACGAATTTGAAGAATGAGGAATGTAGAACAACGAGAAAGAGGTGGCCGAGGGAAAAGACATAGGTATTGACCTGGTAGACCAGAGGGCTGGCCAACCTCCTCGTTGCTTGGGCCAAGCAGCCAAGTTCGCTAAGGCGACCCACTTTGGAAAGGGGAATCTTAAGTAGCTGGCTGGTGTTCGACCTCCACCACGTCCTCGGATTCTGGCCTTGCAGATACGGGTGTTCTGTCGTCGCTGTTCAGCCACCCCCCCCCCCAAAAATACACGGAGACCGATTAACGTTTGTGCAACATAGGCATCCGATTCTTGGTGCTGACAGTACAGTATAGTTTGCGCCAGGAGATTTATCAAAAATGATGAAGTCAAAGTGACTTGTCCTCAATTTCATGACAGCTCAAGCGCCGATGACTGGCGATATAGCATCGGCTATAAGCTGCTGAACACTCGAGATTCCTGTGGGAAGAAGCCCACTCAAACCGAGACTTGAAAACAGATACAGTCACTGGAGCTGGGCAAAACATCCGAGGGTGGTATCATTGAAGAGGTCTGCGGCGACCGCCAGTGAGTAAAGACACCGTTGAAGTTAAAAAATATATGATAATTGGACAGCGAAAAGTGCCATTGGCACCGACACAGGTAGATCTTCTCCTGGCCAGGAGTCCAGGTGAAGTCTGGATATTCTCTAGTAGCCAGGAAGGACCCCTTCCAGTTGTAACTTCTGACAGTTCAGTCTGGATCAAATGTGCTTTCTAAGGTGACCAACATACCATTGAGATAGCCTGACAATTGCTCTGCACCAAGTTTGGAAATCCGAGAGCCATGCAGTCAGTCATTGATAGCACCTGATTAGGGATCTGAGACTTGCGAAGTTAGCAACAAACTTTCAGGCAGCCGGAGCCACCAGCTTTCCCGCGAACTGAGAGCTGAGCACTGAAGTAGGAGGAGCCATTCTCAATGGACCCATTCAACCTCTCTCAGGGTGAGCGTACCCGACCCGGGAATTCCATGTGTGAAATGATCATCACCCTGAGGCTAAGATTCCCCAAGAGCCATCACTCGCCCATTGATGTTATCCACAGACGCACCGAAAACCTTTCGAACTTCGCCCTGTTTACCATCGATAGGTCCAAGATACGCCGCCGCGTTCAAGCCAGTCCGAAGGCCCTCTCAGATCCCGGCGCCACGGAGGCATTTTCTCCTCCTCCTCCTCCTCCTCCTCCTCCTCCTCCTCCTCCTCCTATTGACACCAAATGCTCTCTCTCGTCGCACACGGTACGGGCACAAGGTGTAGGATCGCAGTTCCTTTCTGTCAGACTGTCGATAAGCGCGTCTCATCCAATCAACTCTCTCGGTACTAGGGCTACTTAGGCGCTGGACTGCATGTTATCGTCACTGTCGAGCCCAGTAGACGGGGAACGCTTGACCCAGGCTGCGAGTAGAGTAAAGATTGCAGTGATGCAGTACAAATAACTACTTCGCTGTGCTGAGTGATAGAAGACGTATATATATACAGATATATACAGATACACACATAGAAAAGAGACCAAGATCATCCATCAATAATCAGATCTCCAAACGTCGATCCCACCCCACAGGCTCTCTCTTGTACCCCCCCAAAAAAAAGAAAGAAAAAAGAAACCCCCCCCCCGAGCAAGGGCGAAACCTACTTACCCCTCTCTAGTTAGCTACCTCATCGACCCCGTCTGCCGCCGTCAAAACCAGCCGTCGGAGCTTGCGACCTCTGACCCCAGCCGACCGCCGATACAGTCGGAAACGCCCCGATAAAAAAAATCGGCCGCTTACACAGGTAATCCCATAGTACCTAAACTGGTAGTAGTAGGTACCTAGGTACCTAGGTATCCTACATACCTTAGGTACCGTACTCAACCCGGCAGATACGTACATACTTTACCGACCCCGCTCGCTGGGCGGAAGAGTACCTACTTACTTACCTACTTACCTAGCTACCGGTACCTAGCTACCTACCTACCTACCGAAACACAAACACAGCAGCTCTCTCGTTCTCGCTTACCGAAAGCGAAAGAAATACCGTAGCCAGCCAAGCCCCCTTGAGCGAGCCGCGGAGAACTCGATGCCCCCTGCCCGATTCGCTAGCGCAGTGAGACAGAGACAGAGAGAGACATGCATTACATCCCTGTGTCCCTGCTGAACAACTGTAAAGAAAGAGCGGGATCGTGACTGTACTATGGTAATTAATGACTGCTGAATTAATTCTCATAGCACTCATCATCGTACGGCCCTTCTTGCGCCTTGCAGAAAAAAAAAAATATATATCCCACACGTACGAGTCTTCGGACTCTATCTATCTATCTTGCCTACCCTGCCCATGGCCGCCTACACACACCAACGGACGGGCAGGAAAGGTCTTTTTACAAACAAAGCCATGCATCTATCTCCCTCTCCGTGCTCCAGTGGAAACAATTATATCAAGGTAACAGAAGCAAGTAAGTCGTATGGCTCATCTACGCATAACGCTGAAGCAAGTTTTCACCTCCGCACCCATCTGAAAAAAAAAAATATTCAAAAGCCAAAAACAAAAATACAATTTCACTTTGTCCATCGCCAGACCCCAGCACTCATCTACCAATCCGCGTCGTCGTCTCGTCCTCGTTGCATAGCACTCTGTCTCGCTTTCAGTGCCTCTGCTAGACCACCTGCAAAGCTGGGCGTGGGTGTACTTCTTCCACTATCAGAACTATTGACGCTCATAGCCGAATCGCGGGGAGCGGGAGGGGGTGCTGGTTTGCGGCCTGCTACGGGACGCTTTGCTGGTGGTGCAGGAGGGGTGGGTTTCGCCCGAACCACAGGGCCTTGACCGTTGGATTTCGCTGCTGGCGGCGGGGGTGGAGGTTGGGGGCGAGAGACGACTGGGGAGGGAGGCGGCGGGGGCGCTTCTTCCTTGAGGTATGCTGAGGGTGCCCAGCCTTGTTGGCCCGAAGAGTGTTTGGCTAGCCACCATCCTAAGAATAGGTTAGTATTGATAAGTTCTGGAGGATTGGGGCTTGTTTACCATTGCTCTCCTTCTGGAGAATAGTTACAAGCTCATCCTTCGCCATAGTCATTTCATTGGCGCTCTGACCATTGAAATCATACAGGACCCGATACTGGGGCTCTCTGGGAGGAGGCGCAGCCGCAGCTGCAGGAGGAGCAGGTGGCGGTGGTGGAGGGACGGACCGGCTTGATGATACTGAGGGGTTGGTACGTGTGTGGCTGGGGATAGAAGATACAGCTGCCGATACAGCCGCAGGAGGTGCAGGTATGTTTCGAGCTTGAGCAGCACCATTTGGCTGGGGCACGGGTTTTGTATTCCTGTTCCCGTTGGAAAGCTTGGAGGGCCTTCCACCAGGCCCACCGGGCTTGATAAGTCTGCCTTTCGTGAATGGCTTGGCAGCGACGGGCTTTCCCTTGGGCAGTGGTCTTGACACGGAATTTGGAGGCTCGCCTGGTTTCGTATGGATTGTTCCACTCTTGTAGTAATCGACCTCCATTGCTGCATCCTTAACAACCTTGATGGTTTGCATCTTACCAGGCTTTTTGGCATATTCTATCGAGTCCGAAATCTTGAGGTTGAAGCCGCCTCCAGGAATGGCGCCTGCCATATGCGTGAAAAGCTCAGTCTTAAGCAGACAGTTCAACAAAGGATCGGGTTCTTGTGGAGAACCGACTCCTAGCGAAAACCAGTCGTCTCGACATTGCGAAGTGCCGACGAATTTAATAGCGCCCAGAGGAATCGATCTCTCGATCGCAATTTGAACTTGTTTGTTCACGAGATGCTGCGAGATTATGTAGAACTTGCTCTTCGTCAACACTAAAACCCGAGGACTCGGTTTACTCGATCGACCAAACTTCGTCTCCAAGATTTCACCTCGACAAGAAAATATGACCTGTTCGTTGGCTGGTAAGTTGACAGCATTCCGAATTCGGGACCCAGGGCCGCTACTGGCAGCAATACCGAGGTAGTCACCCATAAAGCGTCTTGAGCCGAGAAGACTCATTCTCCGCCTCTCCTTACGGCCCTGGAGGGTCTTGTGTCCACGTTCTCGAAGAACAAGGAACTCGGCGCCAACTCTCTTTTTCCTCCATACCCGTTGAATGCGGGTGGCAGCCTCGATTCGGATCCGCAGGAAAGCTCTCCAGACCCGCTGGATTCGAATCGCCATGTTATGCCAATACCTGTCACGCATGTGCTCTAGAGCAAACAACGTCTCTGGTGCCTTGATGAACGCTTTTGTTACACCCATTTGGAATTCTTCAGCCGGGATGCTGGTGTCCTTGAGGATTTGCTTCGCGCCAGACTTTGCGTCTCCTGTCCAAGTGTAGTCTCCTGCATAGGACGTCTGTGGAGACAAAAGATAGAATCGTTCGACGAATTTATCAAAAGTCTGACGGTAGGCGAACCCGGCTCGCCTAATGCGAACGTTCTCCTGGAGACCGAGATACTTGACCTGATGCATAACGTTGGGAACATTGTACTCAGTTGGTGATTTGTTCTCGTTGGGCTTGATTGTCCGGATATACGAGGGTTCAGCCTTCATCAGAGTAGCGACGAGGTCGTTTGCAGACGCCTTGATCTTGTCACCGGCAGAAGGAGGTTGCTTCCTGTTATCCTGGTCGACTTGGTGGGGGAATAGAGTATGTAGGAATTCGTTCTGGCTGTCGTCGATGAGATTAAGAATGCCCTTCAGAAGTTGATCTTTGTTCTTATCCGTAATTCCATCGACCGTGTAGGCAACGTCACCGGCATAATGCTTTATGATGAAATTTCCTTGACGAGGAGTCAGATGAGCATTCGACATGCCATTGATGGCTGTCATGAATGTTCGATCGCAAGCAGCGGGGTCTGCGTGAGCAGTCTTTGTAGCATCCTTCATAGCGGAAAAGATACCCGGTGGCCTTACAGACTCGATCAAATCACACACAATCTTATTGTCAAAGTATGTGATGGGAGTCCACTTAATCTGTTCTCGTGCATACTCTTCCTGCTCGGTCTTCAAGGTCAGCTGAATGAAGATCTGTTGCAACTTCTCATTGACATAGTTGATACAGAGCTGCTCGAAACTGTTCTTCTCAAAGATCTCAAAACCGTAAATGTCGAGAATGCCAATGGAGTTGGAGGTAGCCGCGCGAGCTTTTAACGAGACGTTGACGCGCTCTACAATCCAATCGAAAAGATTGTAATACAATGCTTTCGCGAGAGCATCTCGGGTAGCCATGGCTTGTGCTGGGTTCGCTGGAGACTCGATGACCTCGCCATTTCGAGGAGTGAGAATTCGAATGGTGATGGCCTTGATGACATCGGCTGGGTCTACTTCAAGCAAGTAGGCTAAGAAGTCGACGACGGACTGGTCTACAACTTCGGCATATCCATCCTTGTCTTCTCTGAACCCAATGTTACCTGCCCAGAGAATGGCCGCTAGTACCCTGAATATCTCGTCCTGTTCTTCCTGCGCCAAGCCGATTACTTTCATTGCTTGAAGGGTGTCATTCCACTCTGCCAGATCGTCGATACCGTCTACGTCTAGACATTTCGAGTTACCAGTGTAAGCATATGTCGCCGGACCCTGAATACCAAAGTTCTGCTTGTAAGTCGCTGACGCTCCTTTTGTAAATTGGTAGAAAATGTGGAAGTTTCGCTCGTTCTGAATTTGCCCGACAACCCTCGATTTCTCCAAGAGATAATTGGTGATATCCGCACCAACAGGCTCTCCTTGAGCGTTGAACTGCAACTGCAAATACTTTCCGAACCGAGACGAATTATTGTTTCGGAGGGTTTTCGCGTTCCCGAAAGATTCCAAGAGGGGGTTCGTAGCTAGAACCATATCTTTGGTTTGTTGAATCGAAGAGTCGCTCCCGCCGGACACATTTGCGATATACTGCATTATCCTCTTGGCAGCCTCTGTCTTTCCTGCCCCTGACTCTCCCGAGATAATCACGCACTGGTTGTCCTTGTATGCTTTCATGTTATAGTAGGCAGACTCGGCAACGGCAAAAACATGAGGGGGCATCTGGTGAAAGTTAGCCATGAGTCCTCGGGTCTCTAGCAGCACTTGACCAACCTCCAGACGGTTCTTCCCCCTGTAACTGTCCAACACATCTTCTGTGTAGATCCCCACTGAACGGGATGTCAGCAGTCGTACCCCAAAAATCCCAAGACATATACTTACGATCCCGAAAGGGATTGACGGACACCAGCACATGTCCAATATAAGTCTAACTGCTGTCAGCATAAGAACAGCGGTTTCGGATTCCAAGCTCGTACGTAGATCTCTGCATTCTCGAATCGCTTCTTCAAATTGTCATTTATGGCCTCATTGGTGACTTTGCTGATCAGGGTCAGATCAGAAACTCCCACTTCCTTCTTCTTGGTCGTGTCGAAGGCAGCCTTCTTGATATTGGGTTGGGAACTGCCTGATGCCGCAGCACGCCCACCGCCCGGATTGGCGGATTTATCGCCCTTCGGTCTTCGACTTATGCCCTGAAAAGATCCCTTATCAGTTTGCGTTTCTTGTGTGATGCTCTGCGAACAGTCTGGCAACTCACCATCTTGACAGTTTCCCCTGTCCTGTAAACACTGCTCTAGGATGCGCCCAGCCCACGTTTTGCTGCTACGGATGTGCGAGAGAGCCAGAGAGCCAGAATCCAGGTACTTATGGTGTAGATTATTTCCGGGGCATGCAACGGGGTTTCTTCCAATGATGGGAATGATCGTGAGCAGCGTAGGATATTTGGATGTTACTTCATAGAAGTTTCCGAATCGTCAGAGGTTCAACAACACACAGACGTTCGCTACGCTACTGTACATTACTGTGGGGTCGGGTCCCAAGGCCAAGCTGACGCAAGAGGTCAATTACTCAGCCTCGTCCACGTATATTCTCCTAAATACGTCGGATTCACGTATTCGCCACCCTCTTGCGCGTTGCTTTACTTAGCAACTGATGAATCCTAGAGGAGCGGGTCAGTGTTTACGATTCACAGATCTGGATCGCAAGGAAGAGTGAGTGGTTTACTGCGAGGAACATGACGCTACCTATTATCTATCCTCAGCCATCGCATTCCAGCCCGTCAGCAACGACAACACTCGAAATATATATCCCGCCTTGTCGAGTCCAGGATTTTCGGAGAGCAATCAAAGTCAGCATGTCCACTGAGGCAGGTATGCAAAGCGGTCTTGCCGTACTACCGGGAGTTGAGGATGGCCGCCTTTGAGGCTGCAACTTAACCGACATATTTGGTGGGAAACTCTTCAAATTGGATTCAAAATTGGATTCCAGAAAGGACTTCACGTAACAGTTTATGCACACTTATCCTATGGCATGATCCTCTTTTTCTGCCATATTACACAATGTGCGGAAAACACGCTCCCCTGTCATGGCCCTGCAAGCAACGTGTCGGCGCTGCATAGCATCCATTGTTTTGGACCAAAAGCGGAGATCCACAAGAGGATACCGATGTAGCTGTGTCCAAAAGTCCTTGGCATTGCGGTTCTGCTCGAATCGTCCAGGATCCAGCTACGGAGGCACAACAGAAGCGATCAGAATCCGGAAACTGTTGATGGAAAGGACGCCTAAAGAGACCAATCTTTCTCTTGCCGTTGGCGAATGGCTTGCGAATATCCTACCTGGACTCAACCGAACCGTCTGTTCTTGTTGCCTATGCAGGACTTGCCATCGTCGCATGAGAACTGTGGATGGAGACTTTGGTGGTTTGTGAAATTCTCTGTTTTGATTCGAACGAGGCTCTGCTCGTTTCGAGCAGGCGCCTCTCCAATTTCCAAATCACTTGGAGTGGCCGTCTCTAACATTTTATTTTCTCGGCCTGGCCTAGGATATGGGCATGTGGACGGGCGACTTTACCCAGTGGAAAATTTCTCCACTCATTTTTTGTCCCAATAGGTACTCACTCGAGTCTGATCGCAAGCAACTTTCGGGTTTTTGCTGGCCACTAGCCGTAAAGCTCATGGTGAAGATCGAAGCGCAGAGGCTCCGCAAACGCGATTGTCCATTCCGGACCACCATCTCCAGGAGTGTCTGATCCACTCCATCAGGTTGTCCTGCTAGAACAAGCAGATGCGTTTGAGTGGTAGGTAAGCACAGAGTCAGTAGTTATCGGTCGTCACTTGGCTTCACCCGATGTTGATCTAGTGCTGCCTCGAATTTCAAGCAACCGGGTCTCTCTACAAACTGGTACCATCAGCGGTATACACCTGGCTCTTAAAGGCCATGATGTATCTGCCGAACTCCAGAAAATGCTTGCATTTTCACTCGATTGGGAATGTACCGGAGTATCCCAACGCAAATCAATCTCTCACGCCATGATACGAGCCCCGCGCTCCAATCACCACTGGTCGCGAGATCATCTTGGAGTTGAGAGCTTGGTACCGGTATCTCATATTCTCCAGGTCAAGGCCGAGGGCGGCAAACAAAGTTCCGGAAGATCGGAGATCAACCCACCTGCCATACACGTGCATACGGAGCGGAGTAAAGAGCAGTGGTACCGGTACGGGTAGCTTTTAGCATTGTATTGATGGGGCTTAGCTCCGGGCGCGACTCTCGTAATCTGCATACCGGTATTTGACCTTTGTCACAGATACTGCTGCTGCTAACTTATCAGATCTTTACCATACAATCAATGGCTTTCGTAACGCAACTCATCACGGATTCGGCATGCGACAACACTGGTCAACCGAACCGAACAGCTAGCTGGCTTCGGGATATATATTCATGAGCGGAGATCTGGATGGAAATTCTTATTTCCCATATCTCGTCGTCTGAAAGGTCGGCGGCATCTGTGATCAGAGTTGACCCTTGTCTCCAAACCTTGTCTCCAAGGCAAGTAAGGTAAGTGGCTATTGGATGCAGCCTCATCGTGCAGCACTGAGCCTCTCCACCATTGGCCTATCAACGCCATGCAACGGCTGGAAGCGCTGGCCAAGATACTACTTACTATTGGGAGATCTGCCGTGTAAATCTCTAAATTTAACTCTATGCAGCAAGTCCGTGAGGAGATTCCGTCGTCGAGTTCGAAGTCGAGTTTCGAGCCGAGGTGACCAACCTCCAATATACGGAAATCATGGCCTCTTCGTCACATCCACCGGTTTTGCGCCTCTCCGTCGAACGCGCGCGTGATGGATGAGCAGGCCGGTCTGGTACTGTACGATGATATTCTTCCACGGTACGCCACGTACCTTTGGTGCAACGGCGCTCTTTCCATACGCTGTCGACGGTCGTCCAAAAGGGCCTGATTCTCCATCTCATCACGGCTGGCGTGCATAGTCCGTAGAGACTCGCACAAAGTCTGAGGAGCGCAAAGTGACTGGTTGGTTCCGCATAGACGAGGAAGGGGCCAAGGCCGGGGCGGGAATGTCCACATTTGGCTTGACGAATCCGAGTCGGCTTTAAAGCGCCGGGGCTGGCACGCGGCGTCGGAGCCTCCCCCTTCCATGGTCTGCAGGACAGGGACGACTCATTACCATATTATTTCTCTACGAAGACGGAGTAAGTGAAAATCGCAAATCCTCCTTTTCACAATACCTATACAATACTCAATTCACCCCGGAACTCTGCCCGGTATATCTACCCTCGCCACTCGACCATCGATCAGAATCGGCACGGCTGTTGCATCTTTCGGACCTCAGCTCGGCTATCTTACCAGATCCAATCCAATATATCAGACAACACCCCTACTCCGTACATCCAAGAGGCCCATCGACTCTTCGCGGTTTCAATACGGCCGGCGAGCTCTTCTACAAACAGCGTCTCAAGCTCTCACAAGCGGCGGCCAATCGTTTTGACACTCCGGCTGTCTCTGGCATCGGGTTGGTCTGATACAGGCCTCTGGAATCCCGAAACCATCTGCTACGTCTGATCTTCGATACAGGTTCATTTCAAGCTCAGATGGCATGCCATCTAGAACCGTGAAATCCAAGGTAGCGACGGAGAATTTTCCCCAGAATTGTGCACATATCCACCGGGCTGTACACCGTGAACGGCCGGGCCACCCAGGTGAGAACCTTTCTCAACAACCATCCATCCACCGAAACGTCTGGATCACCTCCTGCCTCCGCGTGTGGCAAAGGAAACAAGCTTTCATCTTAAAGATTTTCCATATACACTTCTCCTGCTGGCTCAGGTCTTCCTTCCTTGCTGGTCGTCCGTTCTTTTCAGTTGCGGTGCCAGTACAACGTTTTTTTTTTAATATCTCGGTTCGATTATAGTGGAACCCATCTTTCATTTACCGGTTGCCAATACATATCGAGGACCGCCTCGCTTGCGACAGTGCCGTCGCTGGTCGAAATTCAATATCCCCTCGGGGGCTTGGGAGACGATCCACGATGGGGTTCTGGAGCGAGTTCAAGACACAGACGCGGGGGTCTAAACTATTATTCAATGTTCTCTTCCATGGATTCCATATCGGGATTTTTGCACTGGGATGGTAAGCGATATCTGAAACCTGAAGGTTGACAGTATGTATTAACAGTATGTCAGGTACAAACAAGCAACAGAAATTAGACTCGCGGGTCTGAATACTCTAACATATTCCGTATGGCTGTCTCGAGGTGCTGGACTCGTCCTGTCCGTTGATGGGGCACTGATCCTCCTGCCCATGTGCAGGAATATCCTGAGATACATCAGACCGAAGGTCAAGTTCCTCCCACTCGACGAGTCGCAGTGGTTCCATCGCCAAGTTGCTTATTCCTTGTTGGTGTATACCATCATCCATACTACCGCCCACTACGTCAAGTAAGCCGCTTCGCCGCGATACTTCTCTCAATGGCAGACTGACAGTTCGAAGCTTCTTCAACGTCGAAATAACCCAAATACGCAAAGAATCAGCACTCCAGATCCACTACAGTCAAGTAGGAGGTATTACCGGACACATTATGCTCCTGTGTATGCTCCTCATGTATACCACCTCTCACGCCAAGATCCGCCAGCAGTCCTTCGAGACGTTCTGGTACACTCACCACTTGTTCGTCCCTTTCATGCTTGGCCTGTACACTCACGCCACTGGGTGCTTCGTTCGCGATACCACGCATCCATTTTCGCCATTTGCTGGCGACGATTTCTGGGATCACTGCATTGGGTACCATGGCTGGAGATGGGAACTCTGGGGAGGCGCATTCTACCTGATCGAGCGAATTTACCGTGAGATTAGATCGAGAAGAGATACTTCTATCGTGCGAGTCGTCCGCCATCCATACGGTAAGTCCCCGCTTACCTAATACTCGAGGCAACGCTGAGATGCAACCAAGATGCTATGGAAATCCAATTTCGCAAGCCCTCCATGAAATACAAAGCCGGGCAGTGGCTCTTCCTCAACGTCCCCTCCGTCTCCAAACACCAATGGCACCCTTTTACCATCACCTCCTGCCCCTTCGATCCCTACATCTCGGTGCACGTCCGGCAAGTAGGCGACTTCACGCGGGCCCTTGGCGACGCCCTCGGTGCGGGACCGTCCCAAAGCAAAGTCTACGACGACGTCGACCCGATGGGCATGTATGAAGTGGCGCTGCAGAACGGGCAGACGATGCCAGAACTAAGGATCGACGGCCCGTACGGCGCACCCGCCGAGGACGTCTTCGACAACGAGATTGCTGTCCTGATCGGCACGGGTATCGGCGTCACGCCTTGGGCCGCCATCCTCAAGAACATCTGGCATATGCGGCAGAGCCCGGACCCACCGCGACGCCTGCGCCGCGTCGAGTTCATCTGGGTATGCAGGGACACGACCTCCTTCGAGTGGTTCCAGGTCCTGCTGTCCTCCCTCGAGGCCCAGAGCCAGGAGGCCGCGCAGCAGAGCCAAGGCGGCGTCGAAGCCGAGTTTCTGCGCATCCATACCTACCTGACGCAGAAGCTCGACCTGGACACGGCGCAGAATATCGTGCTCAACAGCGTAGGCGCCGCGCTCGACCCGCTGACGGAGCTCAAATCGCGGACGAATTTCGGGAGGCCGGACTTTGGGCGCCTGTTTGAGGGCATGAGGGAGGGTATACTCGATCGCACGTATCTGAGTGGCTTGGAGGGTTCTATGAAGACCAAAGTTGGGGTTTACTTCTGTGGTATGTGCTATCATGGCATTTTGTTCTCTCGCTCTCTCTTGCCTTTTCTCGCCCCCTACCCATTTTCTCGCTTAGATTCTCGCTTGCACGTTAGACTGTTTACTAATGACGGGAACAGGACCCAACGTCGCAGCGAGGGAGATTAAGAAGGCGTGTAAGAATGCGACTACTCAGGACGTCAACTTCTCGTTTTGGAAGGAGCATTTTTGAATGCGTTGTTTGGGCTGTTTGGGTATTTTGACGTGCGGGAATACCCTCTCGAGACAGAGATTTGCTGCTGAGACATTATGAGCGGGCGCATTCGGCGATCTATATATTTCTAGTGTCGCGAGACAAGATATGATAATCTGATGTCGCTTTTCCCATGGGAGACGTACTCAGAGCCCAGGTGATCCATCCATTGCTAATATGAGTGGCCGAGCTACAGCTTACTCTGCCCCTCCTGTGGCACCTTGACAACAACCTTCCCCCAAGTACCCCTACTTCCCAGTGCTTTGAGGGCCTCTGGCACCGTCTCCAAGCCCACAAATTCTTTATCCGTAAACACCGTCCCCCTAAACTTCCCCGCCTCAATCAAGTTGAACAAGCCCTCCCAAACCGGCTCCACCATCTCCGGCTCATACGTGGCATACGCTCCCCAATGCAGCCCCACGATACTGATATTCTTTAACAGGACCTTATTCATGGCCACCTTCTCGATCGCGCCAGCCGCAAACCCGATAACCAGGAGCCGCCCGTTCCACGCAATGCACTTGGTACTCTTATCAATCATGCCGACCGGGTCGAACACGATATCGACGCCCCTCCCCCTCGGCGTAATCTTCCTCACGAGATCCGGCCACGCGGGATCCGTGTAGTTGACGCCGTGATCCGCGCCGAAGCTCCTGGCGACGTCGAGCTTGTGCTGCGTCCCAGCGGTCGCGATGACCGTCGCGCCGAACGCCTTGGCGATCTGCACCGCTGCGAGCCCCACGCCGCCGGCGGCCGCGTGCACCAGGACGTAGTCGCCCTCCTTGACGCCTGCGCGTGTGACGAGGGCCCCGTAGGAGGTGGGCGCGGTTACGAACAGGCCGGCGGCTTCGAAGTACGACCAGCCCTTCGGCACGGGCTTGAGCACGGCTTCGGTGGCGGCTACCTTGGTGGCGTAGCCGCCTTGGGAGGCGCCGAAGACGCGATCGCCGACCTTGTATTTGGGGGGTGAGGCGGAGGAGGTTGGGGTCGAGAGGATTACGCCGGCGAATTCGGCGCCGGAGATCTGCGGAGGTTTGTTAGAGGTGCTTGGAGGGGGGGAGGGACGTGGGGCTGGGAGGGGCTGATTGCTCACCCAGGGGAGAGGAGGCTGGTTTTGGTATTTGCCGGCGATTTGGAGGAGGTCGAAGAAGTTCGTTGCGGTGGCGTGGATTGCTATGAGGTACTGGTCTGGAGAGGGTATAGGGTCGGGGAGGTCGGTTACGCGGAGGTCTGAGGGGCCCTGTCTCTCTGGGTTAGATACTGATGTTTTTGTTTTTTTTTATATACACATAGATGGTTGTGTTGGGCAAAATTAGGTGGAGGGACAAGTTGGTATTTATTTTACCTTGACATATTCCTTGATCTGGATTCCGCGCATCGTGAAGGCGGCCGGTGCTCTAGGTCTTTACTTATGGTATATTCTCGTATCCCAAGTGCAATTGGGGTTCAAGAACGAGAGGGCGGAGTAGGTATAGAGAAGTATCAATTGGAGCTGATCGTTGAAGTCGTACTTGTATATGGGCACAATACTACTACTATCTATCCAGCTCGGGATAGGTATCGTACTTGATCGCGGGGAGCCGGAGATGCCAGACCGAGGTGTTTCCAGCTTGGCTTGCAAGTACGGTAAGTACTTGAGATCACGTGGGCATGCTGTCATCGCCTGCCAGGATTTCGATAGTATGCAGTATCTGTATCTGTACTTCGTATCCACGGAATAAGAGAAACCCAACGAACGGCCATAGATTCGTGGCAATGATTAATAATTACTGTATCGAGCGGGCGTAGAAGGAGTGATTTCACCGTGGAGCAGAGCCGCAGCGGGTCGTTCCAAATAGTAACTACTAATTACTACGTATACAACTTTCCGGAATCTTGTCGTCCTTTCGTTTGTATACTGTACCGGTACTTAGGTAAGGTTCGCTACCGCACATAATCTCCCTACTTCAACACCAACTCAGCTTCCAACTTCGTTCGACTCCACTCCCTCCACTCTTCGACAAGTCAAGCCACACCCAAACCAACCCAACCCAACTCAACCCAACCCAACCCAACGATTACTTTTACTTTCAAGTACATTTTCAAGCCGCGACGCCGCGAATACTATCACCGTCAATCTTCTCTGCCTGTTGATAAGCGGAAGAAGTCCAGCCACCCGGGTCCGATACGTATCAAGTCGCCACGCTACGTCAACCGGACCCAACTGGACCTAACCTGACCTGACCTGAACCGACCTGACCTCCAAGGGACTCGCAACATCTTCTCCCGATATCAACAACCCTCAAACACCCGCTCAACTTTCTCCCTTCGATTTCCCCCTCCGCAAACGAACCATGGCCGACGGAGCCACCACCACCGAGGCAGACGCTCAAATCACCTTCAAGGTCAAGACATCCAGCGAGGGCATGCACTCCATGACAATGGCAGAGTCTGCGACTGTCTTGGACCTCAAGACGAAGCTGTCCGGGGACGAGTTTGAGAAAGGAGTAACCGTAGACCGCATGCGCCTGATCTACTCCGGTCGAGTGATGAAAGACCATGAACCCTTGAGCACATACAAGATCAAGGCGGGCAACACGATACACATGGTGAAGAGCGCGCAGAGCAACGCTGCACAGAACACGGCAAGCTCTTCGGCGCCTGGCTCGGTCCCTGCTGGCGTCCCGACCAATATGGCAGCTGGTACCGCAAACAATCCCCTTGCGGGGTTGACAGGTGCTCGATACGCCGGGCATATGGCATTACCGGGGATGGAGATGTTTGGCGCCGACGGTGGAGTAAGTAGTGCCATAGTCAGGCGGAGAGAAGAGCTAACATCCGTTCTAGATGGGTGCTCCTCCTAGCGAAGACCAGATGGCCAGCTTGCTTGACGATCCAAATACCCAGCAGATGATGAATGAAGCTCTCCAGAACCCCGCCATGGTCGACATGATGATCAACCAGATTCCCGGCCTACGAGACAATCCCCAAGCCCGCGCCATGCTCAGCAGCCCCGAGTTTAGACAAATGATGACCAACCCCGACGCCCTGAGGCAAGCTGCAGCAATGAGAAGAATGATGGGTGGACAAGGAGGAGCAAACGCCTTCCCCGCGCCCGGAATCGCAGACACAACCCCCGGTGGAGCCGCTGGTACCACTCCGAGTCAACAGAACCCACCACAACCACCCTTCAACCCCTTCGGTGCGCCAGGGGGAGCAGCCGGCGCGGGGAACCCATTCGCAAGCCTCTTTGGCGCACCCGGTCAAACACCTCCCGCCTCCGGCTCAGCTGGACAATCCGCACCCCGAGCACCCTCAACAACCGACCCTGCCGCAAACCCTTTCGCTGCGTTATTCCCCGGTGCCGGAATGCAAGGGATCCCGAATCCTACGCCAGAGCAGCTGCAACAGAGCTTGCAAATGCTGCAGGGTGGCGGCTTCGGCAACATCTTTGGTGGGGCGAACCCTTGGGCTGCTGGAACAGCAGCTCCTAGGACGCCCGTGCCAGCTGATACGCGACCGCCCGAGGAGATGTACGCGGATCAGTTGAGGCAGTTGAACGATATGGGGTTCTTTGATTTTGACCGTAAGTGCCGCCAGCGGTTCTCCACTCCACCATATGCACTAAATGGTCACTTAACTAACTACTCCCAGGTAACGTAGCAGCCTTACGACGAAGCGGCGGTAGCGTCCAGGGGGCGATTGAGCAACTTTTGAGCTAGATTCTTCTTCCCTGCATGCATTTCGAAGTCATGACCTACGGGTTGGGGCGGGGGGAGAGGGGGGAAGGGGTCAATTTCTGAGGGCGCTAGATGGAAACACTATTAATTGCATGGCACATGGCATCGACGAGGGACGAACAGAGAGAGATGTGAAGCGACCAGGGGATCTTTTGAGCAAGCTTTTTGACGCAGCGGACATGTGGCACATGTAGCCTACCCGGCCTATATTCAGAGCCTAGCGGCTTTTCGAGTACTTACGGAAATGAAATGAATCACCACTACACCTACCTACCCAAGCGTGACTTTTGTGTTTTGTTTCCGAGAACTGCAAGGAATGGTAAACGCCGATTCTAGAATTCCAAAAGTCGGACATTGACGATATTCTGTTCATTCATTCATTCAGATTCAGATTCATTTCATGTGCGTAATAATCTACTACTATACAGCCAGCCTGGTATCCATATCCATATCCATATCCATATCCAATTCCAATTCCGTATCCAATTCCAATTCCAATCCCGTCCATGCAGTTTGCACCTCTCTCCCCGCTCCACCCTCCCCCCTTCCCCCTCGCGCCGAAGCAGATGCTGATGCTGCAATCTCTTTCCAACCCAATCCAAGCCCATCATCGTACATCGTACCGTAGCGTCCGAGTTATATATTTAGAAGAAGAAGAAGAAGAAGAAGAAGAAGAGACAAAGATGAAGCCAGGACGGTTCTGGGCCCCCCACACCCCAATTACTGTAGTCGGTCGCTCGCTATGCACCATTCACCCCCCCCCCCCCCAACTTAAAATCCGTACCCATACCAATCTTGCGAGAACTCCAGACGCCCTTTCACCCTTGAGAATCCCTGTCGAATGGTATGATATCAGTGCTGCCCAGCCGCCCTGTCCCTCTCTCTCTCCCGATCATCAAGCGTCATAACAGTCCTTTCACTGTCTCGCCACCTCCTCCCTAAGGTCGGACGCTCCTCACTCCCTCTGCCCGCACCACCGCCATCCCCATTGGAACTCCCCGTATCCTCAGCTCTCAAGCTCGCCCCAGCAAGCTTGCTAACATTCCGCTTCTTATGCCCCGGCCTGTTCCTACTCTTACTCCTCGCCTCTCGCTCGAGCTTCCCTACATTCTCCTCCGTCAGCGCATGCCCCCCTCGGTTCTCTTCACCCATGGGACTCGATCCCAGACTCAACAGGCCCCCCGGCCCAGCGGCAGCAATAACCATCTTCTCGTCTCTAAGCGCCGTAGCCTTTTCCTCGGCTTCTTCCCGCTTACCGGCCCTTTCGCCTTCCGACTCCGGACCGGGGAGAGTAAGGTGATGTGAATCACGTCGCGCGTTCATAGTCGGCCGTTCCGCAACCGTCAGACCTTTGGAACCCAAGTTTCCTGAGCTGGCTTTCGGAACCGTGGTCCCTGAAGACGGCACGCTCGTTGGCGACCCTTGCCCAAACATCGGAACAGCAACGCTCCCGCAATTGTGCTCCTCGGGCTCCGTGCAGTCGCTCGTTTCGGCATCGCTGGAGGTGTCGCCGCCGGCACTCTGCGACACTCGTCTGCTGATGGCCCAGCGGACGAGCATCTTCTCGAGCGTCTTTCCCTTGACGGGTTTGGCGAGGTAGTCGTCCATGCCTGCCTTCTTGCACTTCTCGCGGTCGCCCTGGATGGCGGAGGCAGTCATGGCCACGATTGGGATGTTACGAGCGAGATGGTTGTAGGGTTTATGGTGGCGTAAAAGGTGCGTTGCACGGTAGCCGTCGATGATGGGCATCTGCACATCCATGAGGATTATGTCTGGTTTGGGCTGAGGGGGGTGGCGAGAGTCGGAGGCGAGGACGTAATCCAGGGCTTCTTTGCCGTTCCAGACCGCAGACACGGCGAAGCCGAGCTTCCTGATGGTTTTGAGCGCGATCTGCTGGTTGATGGCGCTGGGCTTCGGTTAGCGAGGTTCCCGGAGGGTGAGAAGTGGGTGTAACAACATACTTATCCTCAACAAGTAGGATCTTGACCTTGGCCCTCTCTTCGGGGGAGAGATCGAGTTCCGATGGCGTAGGTGGAGTCATGCTGACGGATCGGGGCTTCGTCCCTCCCCTGCCGTACATGATCATCGGAATATTCATGGGCGGTGTCCCCATAACTTGATCGTAATCAGAACTGCTGCACGAGACGCTCATCTCAGACTGCAAACGATCGGGAAGCAAGCCGATATCGATCAGTGCCGATGAACCGTTGTGGAATTGGGGTTTGTTGAAAGGGATCGTGAATGTGGCAGTGGTGCCAGCTCCCAGAGACGATTCTAAGCCTATCGTTCCATGCATCAAATCCACGAGATTCTTGCTGATGGTCAGTCCAAGACCTGTTCCGCCGAAGCGTCGTGCCGTCGAGGAATCTGCCTGGCTGAAAGGCTTGAAGAGCCGTTTCCGCACCTCCTCTTCGATTCCAATTCCACTATCTTCCACCACAAATTTGACTTCAAAGACATCGGCCGTTTCCCTCTGTTTCAGAACAGAGAATTTGACGTAGCCCTCGCTGGTAAACTTTATACTGTTGGTAAGTAAATTTGTGATGATCTGGCGCACTCGTCCTGGGTCCCCCATCACAATCAGATCTGTATCTAAACCAACATCGATGTCCGACTTGAACATGAGGTTCTTCCTTTCGGCGGCGAATCCGAGCATTTTACTCACGTCCCTGACCACCACAGAGAGTGAGAACTGCACTTCCTCGATGTCCAGACGACCAGATTCGACTTTCGAGAAGTCAAGAATATCATTGATGACAGTCAGAAGACCATTGGCAGAGCGCTGGATGTTCTCTGCACAGTCTTGTTGCTCCTCGTCTAGATCCATATCTGTCAGGAGTTCTGCCATCCCAATGACTCCAGCAATGGGCGTTCGAATCTCGTGCGACATGTTGGCGAGGAACTGACTCTTCAGCCGACTGGCTTCTTTAGCAGCCGCCTCGTTGGCCAAAAGCCTCGAGTTCTCCTTCTCTTGGGCCTGTAGATCCAGCTCACGATCCTTGATTTCGGTGATATCCATACTGACACCGATTACCCCATCGATCCACGCTTCGTTTGCTTGGCCACCGTTGTCCTTCTTGCCCAGGATTGGTACGAACTTCGTCCGGTACCATCGGTCATCGATGCAGTGCTCCTGAACCTCCTCCATTGTCTTCCCAGTCAGGATGTCTTCGATCGGTTTCAGAGACGCAGGAACACCATCATGGTCGCGAAGGGCTCTGCTCTGATATAAAACATCGTAGACATTTCTGCCAATGAAGTCTTCGCCTCCCCTGTTTTTGCTATTCGAACTCTCGTCACCGGATCCAATATCGCTGTCCAGATCCCAGATGAAAGCTCCTTCGAGCAGGGTTATCTTGCGTTCCCTGTCCACTGAGAAAAGTGTGACTTGAGCGTGTGTGATGACAGAGAGGAGTTGTTGTCGCTGCATTGATGTTAGCGATTGCGGCCCTTCAGCTCTGACGGATGACTCACCAATCGTTTCGCGGCATATCGCGTCTCGACAGATTCATGTATATCTGTGTACGTTCCGTACCACTTCTCGATGGCTCCAGTGTGAAGATTCCTCATTGGCAAGGCGCGGCCTAGCATCCATCTCCACTCGCCTTCTTTGCTCCTACAGCGATACTCTGTGCTGTATGGTGTACCAGTAGCGAGGGAATGTGCCCACCTCTTACCAGCGTTGACCATGTCTTCGGGGTGGAACGATGATTTCCAGCCCAATCCGAGAGATTGTTCTGGGCTCAATCCCGTGTAGTCATACCTATCGAACATAAGCCACTGTGTCACAAGCGCCACGGGCACGCCTTACCATCTTTGGCTGAACCAGTCATGTAGACCATCCGGAGTCGCAGTCCAAATCATTTGCGGCATACTGTCAACGATCATTGAGAATCGCTGCTCATCCTTGGCCTTGATCTCCGTGATCGTCTCCGTCAGGGAGGTGATATCGCGGCATGACACCACTCCAGCGAGAAACTCTCCGTCATCGCCATAGATACCCTCCCCGAGGGCGTCGTAAACGGTCTTCTGCTTCGTATCGGGGTCGACCATGGCAAATTTGCGACTGGAAAACGGTGTCTGTGTTTTGATGAGCACTGAGATCGGGTATTCACTAGGGTCCAGCTTGGTGGTCAACGTCTCGTCGTACAACTCCCATTTCGTTATCAAGTCAGCCCCGTCTTTGACATTGGAGAGATCCGCTGCCGGGTCAAACAATCGCCTTGCAGCTCTATTGGGTATCGTTAGGCTTTCGTCTTTCCACATGGCCAGAATGGGTACCGAGGTGGTATCCATCAGAGCATCTTTCATCAAGATGATCTTCTGAAAAGTCGACGGGGCACTTGAGGTGCTGAGCTTGGACGGAGGGCCTAACGGCGGAAAGGGGCTTGTGGACATGGAGAGGGTAGTAGGGCTCGTGATAGCAGACGATGAGGAGGAGCCACCACCTCGGGTTGAGTTTTTGCCGGAGCTGACAGAGGAGGAGGAGTGCGATCTCGATCCTGCCGAGCCGAAGGAGGAATTCTTCGTGGCCCTTGTCACTTGCCTCGACTGGCCCGTGGAAGCTGGGAGTGAGTTCTGCTGCGCGTCTGTATTGGTAAATGTCAAAGTGAAGAACTTCTCGTCCTCGATCTCCCAGACAGTTATGATCATTTTGGCAAAAACATGCCTTGGGGTTTTTCTGGCACTGTAATGGGCCGCAAACAGACTCTGGCCAATCTTCTCCTGGGATATGACTACCTCCACCACGGCATCGCGAACCATAGGCCGTTCCTTGTGACTCGATCGACTGCTCCTCAAAGGCTCTGTTCTCTCGACCGTTGGGGTTCTATCCCCTTCTCCAGCTTCAGAGCCCGTCCGCCGCATCGGATCCTCCGTGGTTTGCTGGCCCATCTCTTCCGCGATGCTGCTGAGGAACGCCTCCCAGGTTACCCAGACCGGCCGGCCGTCCTGCAGCATATCGATACCAAGCTGGTTCAAAGTTTGCCCACCCAGCCTATCGGAGATTGTGGTCCCGTCGTCACTAGCGACATCGCCATCCGTCTCTTCCATCCCCAGCAGTCTTCCCATGGCATCGTTGGCCATGACGAGTGTTTTCAGCGCGCTCAAGACGATGACGGGATATGGAAGATACTGCAATGCGGACACTGCGAGCTGTGCCGCTGGACGAGGTCCTCCGAGATGGAGATCGAGATCGAGATCAAGGAGGCTGTCATCAGAGTCTCTCCGATGAGTTGATTGTCCACGCATCTTGAGGAGGTTGTCTGCTTGCAAGGACTCGAGGCCATCGATTTGACCTGGGGGCATGTGCAGCGGAGACCGCGGGTGGCCATCATCGTCGCCGATCCGATGTGGCAGGAGTTCATCGTGGATAGATTCGTGACGATACCCAGCCGGTTGAGCAGAGTCGGGTTGGGCGGTATCGAGGGCGAGCATCATCTCGTCGCATAAAAGTCCGGAGATTTTGCCGTTCTGGAGGTGTTGACTCTACAATGTTTGTCCTCCTTGTCCACTCGATCACCACGTCATATCCCTGAGGCTCACTAAGATAGATGCTAACTAAGATAGATGGGCGGAGGGTCGGCGGTCCGTCCACTTTCCAATCGATGTCGCGATATATCTGGGTAAGTCTGGTTCGACCTCGGCCAGAAAATACGGGATTTGGGTGGGTTATAGAGGCGAATTGGGGGATGTAGTTAGTTATGTTGTTGAGAGGAAGAAGGGAAGGGTGGGTTGATATGGCGGAGGTATTTCCCTCGGCCGTCTTCCCATTGGGCTTAGCCGGTCCTGTCTGTAGCTGTAGCTGTAGCTGTAGCTGTAGCTGTCGCCGTAGCTGTCGCCGTAGCTGTAGCTTGTAGCTGTAGCTTGTAGCTTGTAGCTAGATAGCCACCAAAGAATATTCAACCTTGAAGAGTCGGAAGTGGGTGGTGCAGAGCAGAACAGGCCTTGTTGTATGGCCAATTCGGGTACCTCTCGGGATATTTTCTTACATGGAGTACTTATACGGAGTGGTACCGGTACCGGTACTTGTGCTTGTGTTTTATCAGACTCCGCAATCATCCACGGACCGGGACCAGGACAAAGACGAGACAAGTGACGGGACCAGACATCGGCGGTGACATACGGAACGGAGCGACTTTGGCAACTTTTGGACCCTGCCCTGGGGGACCCCTCGATCGGCACAGGGGGAGCAGAGGGGATAAGATCCTTCGATAAGGAAAAGAAATCCATCCTCATCCTCATCCTCATCTCCATCACGGCCTAGACCATCATCTATCTACGGAAACGCCATATCCTTAATTAAACCGTATCTTTATTTACCCTTTGCCTACTGCTACCTACAAGAGGCCAGACGGCGTCCATGACGGAGGTCGCGTTTCATGCTTTGCCGCTTTGCGATGACCGCATATACCGTAGTACTAGGTACTACTACTACTACTACTACCTACAGTTGATAGTGATTATTTATAGCCATCAAAACCTTCCGGATGAGACTCCGTCCCTAACCTCCATCCGTCACGAACCCATCTCACCATCTCAGCCCAGAAGAGGGAGTTGTATCCATACCAACATCTACCGGTACCGGTACCGGTAGCACGTACTACAGTACGTAGGTAGGTACCTACAGCAGTACAACGGAAACCTTTGTTGATGCGCCCTTCCCCCGACCCGGAGCACCTCTCCCAGTCCCCCAGTGCCATCAATCCTGGAGACTCGGGATCCCTAATCATAAGCGAGCCGACGATTAGACGTATATTGCAGGGCTGCGGGGGTGGTCGATCAGCGCCCGCAGACGCCCCGGCGCGGCTCGGCCTACGTATGTGTAGCGGAGTATCTTCATCTGAAGTTACAAGTTAAGAGGATTGTCGCGTAACGCGTTAACGATGGCGAGAAGGTATTTTTAAACCATACCAACGCTAACGACCAGAAGGGGAGGAGGGCAGGTTTGGGATATAGTAGTAGTACAGGAACTTTAGCCATGGAGATTGCGTCCGCTTTGTCTGCTGCCTGTCCGAACTGTCTGTCTGTCTTGTCTGCCCGAACTAGTCTGTCTGTCCGAACTAGTCGGTCGGTCTGTCAGACGGGTCTCCGTGAAAGTTGCACGGCTGCTGGGTGAGCGCCGTCAGAGTGGCGAGGAGCTAGATTTGAGTTCACAATTTCCGGATGACGTCGTGAGTATTACTGTATAGGTACCGTGTGGCTTGTACGTTCCATGCACCTGTGGCTGCATTCGAGCGATCTCTGCGTTGTGGACAGCGACAACTACCGGTACCGGTATCTCTCCATCTCATGTGCGACCAACGACCATGCCGATACATATACTTCAAAGTCGCCCGCAGTAGTGTCCTATCAAGTACAACTAAGTACAACTCCCCTTTCCATACCCTAAACATCCCAGGCATCATGAAGTATAAAACGATAGGGTGGCATTCTGCATTAAGATTCCCTCATCAAAAGCCTGCAACCCACCTGGCCACCACTCACGCCGGCGAAGGAGCATCTACGCTACAAGATATCTCTCCGCCCGTGCCATCTGATCCATCCACCAGAGTGAAAAATATCACGGGTATAACATCCTCATTGCAGCTTCTCGGCAATCCACTTCTCCGCAACCTTGACTGCCTCGTCGATCTTCTCGGGGTTGGTGCCTTGGCCCGTTCGCGTCGGTTCCTTCCCGCCGGAGCGGCCACCCAGGACTTCGGAGACGGCTGCGGCCCAGTGCTCGGCAGTGACCCCCTTCGAAGAGTGATCCTGTACTGATTAGCCATGTTCGTAGGAGGGAGGAGAGGGGACTTGCAGTGCCAACGTAAACACCGTGCACAACCTCGCTCTTGCTGCCCGCAATAAGATACACACTTTTGTCCTTCGCCTTGGACTTGAAGTGGTTCATGACATCCGTCACAGCCTTCATATTCGCAGAGATCGGCAGCGCACCAACAAACACCTTGCTGTCCTGGTTCGTCGAAAAGTGACCCGTGACAGAATCCAGCGCAGTCTTGGACTCGGCCTTCTGTCTCTTCTTCTGCTCGTCGAGAATCTCCTTCTGAACCTTAGCGAGGCGAGTCTTCAGCTCATCCTTGGTCAGAGTTGCGACGGTGAGTTGGTTCAAGTCGTTCTGTACAGACTTTACTTCAGCCTCCTTCTCGGCACCGTGTGACATCTTCTCCAAAGCCTCGATTCTCTTGCCAAATTCAATGGCGTCTCGTTGGACCTTCTGGGCAGCATCACCGGTGTAAGCGATGATGCGGCGGATCCCCTTGGCAATACCGCTCTCCTCTACAATAACCAGATCCTTGATGAGCCCCGTCTTCTCCACGTGAGTCCCACCGCAGAACTCGACACTGACTTCTCTCCACTTGGGGTTTTTGGGGTTCTCCAGGAGCTCGTCAACTGGGACGCCGACGGAAACAACACGAACCGGGTTGGGATATGTCTCGCCAAACACAGCACGCACACCCTCGATGCCCTTGGCAAGATCAAGATCAACGTCTTTGGCGTAGATCTCGCAATTCTGCTTGATGTACGCGTTGGACGAATCCTCAATCTTCTTCAGCTCAGGCAGACTGACTTGAGCCTTGTGGGAGAAATCAAATCGAAGCTTGTCTTGGTCGACGAGAGATCCCTTCTGGTTGATATCCTCACCGAGATGTTCTCGTAGAGCGTGGTTGAGAATATGTGTGCCGGTGTGATTGTTGCGGATAGGTTGTCTCCGAAGTTCGTCGTACTCGCAGATAACCTCGTCTCCAGCCTTTAGCGAGCCGTAGTCTAGGTAACCATTGTGGACAATGTAGCCTCCGTAGGTTTGAACATCACGAACTTTGAACTCAGCAACACCATCGATAATGATCTTACCAGTGTCCGCAACTTGTCCTCCTTGCTCGGCGTAAAAGTTCGTCTTATCCAGCAAAACACCGAATGGCTTGCCAGGTTCAAGACCCTCAGTTGACTTCAAAAAGGCCTTCCCGTCGTAGACCAGGGACACCTTGGCAGTGCTATCTCCTTTCGAGAACTTAGCATCGTCGTTGGGTCGTGGTATACCCATCTTGTCGAGTTCCGCGATTTGGTGTACGTCAAACTTGGCAAACGTCTGCGAAGTGTCCTTGACAACCATACTAGCCAAACGAGCTCTCTCTTTGGCGATCTCAATCTCGGCATCATCAGTCTCGAGACCTTTCTCCTCAGCCAAAATCTTGGTCAAGTCCTCTGGAAACCCAAAAGTATCATACAACCGCCAAACATCATCGCCAGAAAGCTTCTTGCTATCGTTCTTGATGGCGTGGGCAGCGTACTTCTCGAACATCACCAGCCCGCGCTTTAGAGTTCTACCGAATGCCTCTTCTTCCTCGTCCAGAATCTCCTTGACTTCTTGCTGCTTCGCAACAATCTCAGGGAATTGCTCGCCCATTTGCTCAACAAGTGCAGGCAGTATCTTGGAGAAGAAGCTGCCGATCTCAGCATTGAAGTATGACTCGGCATATCGAGCACCACGCCGTAAGACTCGTCGAACAACGTATCCGCGGCCCACATTGCTTGGTACACCTCCGTCACTAATAGCGAACGCTAAGAGACGAATGTGATCAGCAATAACACGGTAAGCGGTATCGATTCCGTCAACATCGTCTTTTCCGTATTTGTCGGTGTACTGTCTAGCCTTTGTAACTTCCTGGATTTTGGTGAATAGCGGTAGAAAGACGTCGGTATCGTAGTTCGAGGACTTGTCTTGCAGAACCGATACCAATCTCTCGTATCCCATACCCGTATCGACATGCTTTGCAGGCAGCGTCTTTAAAGAGCGGTCCTTTTGTCTATCAAATTGAATGAAGACGTTGTTCCAGATTTCGAGAACATTGGGGTCGTCCATGTTGACCAGGTGGGCAGCATTTCGGCCACCGCCAATTCGGTCGTAGTGGACTTCACTGCAGGGTCCGCAAGGTCCTTGATCACCCATCTCCCAGAAGTTGTCCTTCATGTTTCCGGGCAGGATATGATCATCTGCAACTCCAACCTTCTTCCATAAGTCCTTGGCCTCCAAATCTGGCTCCACGCCGGCACTCTCGTCGCCCTCGAAGTATGTGACATAAAGACGGTCGGGATCCAAGCCGTAGACTTTCGTCAGAAGCTCCCATGACATCTCGATAGCTTCTTGCTTAAAGTAGTCGCCGAAAGACCAGTTGCCTAGCATTTCGAAGAAAGTCTAAGTCACATCAGCAGAATACTATATACTGCGAAACTGCCACATACGTGATGATAACTGTCTTTTCCAACATCGTCCAGATCCTAGAAGGCAGTATTTTCAGCTCAAGTTCTCTTCCATACAGAATCTATCCTCACATTGTGTTTTCCTCCCGCACGAATACACTGTCAACGGTCAGCATGCCCCCTTCCATTTCCACCTCCACTAGCACAGCAAACATACCTTCTGCGTATCCACCGCTCTCTTCAGCTGAGCCAAATCATCTGTCTGCCCGACCGTGCCCAAGAAAATTGGCTTGAACTGGTTCATCCCAGCATTGGTAAATAGCAGCGTGGGGTCATTGTGGGGTACGACCGACGACGACGGCACTGCAGACAGCACTTATTAGCCATAATCTTTAAGGGCCTCTCACTCACAGAAAGGATACTGTGATCCAGATCTGTGACCCTCAATGGAGCGTTTGCCATTGTCGTGGAGTGCTCCCAAGATAACCCCCCCTCCAAACAAACAGAGTACCCCGCCACCTACCGATCGTATGTCCCTTGGCCTCAAAAAACTCCAGGAAGGTCTTCCTCACCACGGGTGCAGTCCACTTCTCCTGCGCCATCCTTGCTACTGCTGCTCCCTTTGAGTTCGAGAAGCTTCTAGATGCCGTCCTGGTGATCGTTGTGCGGTGCGGGATTCGTGGACGCGGTGAGAAGAATGCAATGGAGGGTCGCAGATTCTCGGTTGTTGTTGCGATGGAATACCGTCGAATTCGGAAGAGGTGACTCAGAGGCAGTGCTCTCGACCTTCCACTGCTACAACCCCGACAATTCATCGGTCTGTTCCCGATAGGTGGCCTACGCGAAAATAAAACCACCCACGCGAAAATACAACACGCGCAAATCGGATATCTTCTGCGCAACTGTGCCAATTGCGCCACCTGTACGAATTGCGGCACTTGGATTGGGTTGGGGAGGGAAAGAAGGGGGATACTTAGGAAGGGCCCAGACAGGCGTCGTCGCACGGTTGAGATGTGAGAGAAAATGGATCGCTATCAAGCGACAGGCAAGATCAGGAAGAGAAAGGCCGAGACGCAGGACAACGAGCGCCTCTCCAAGCGGCTCAGCTTGCTGAATTTGGGTTCGTATACGTTTCCTCCTTCTCCTCCTCCTCCTCCGCTCCCTCTCCCTCTCCCTCTCCCTCTCCCTCTCCCTCTCCCTCTCCCTCTCCCCATACCCAACCACAACACCAGAAAGGACTACGAAATTTGTACATGTAGCTTACTTACACTTCCCAGAGCGCAATGGCGAGAAACTCTACGTCCCAGTCGAGCAACCGTCGGCCAGCACGCTCTCGCCTTTCAAATCATCACCTCTACTGGCAGCTGTGCAAACCGGCGATGACGACACCATGCACCTAGACGACACCAAGCACAAAGTCTACATCTACGACCTCGACGCCGAGCTCGCAGACGGCAGTGGCAGCGAGTCCGACGATGGCAAGCTGGTCTTCCTGCCCGACATCCAGCAACACCTCCGCGAGACGCGGATCCCGCCCATGGTGTTTGCGAACAGCGAGGGCGAGCTGGCCGGCGCGAATAGTCAGCTGGTGCTGTACAACGTCCCGAGCTCGCTGAGCGTGCCGGCCGAGAAGGACAGTGTGCGGAAGGCTGTCATTGAGTCGCGGGCGAGAGCTCGCGCGGCGTTGCAGGCGCAGAAGGCGGGAGGAGAATATGATGGTGATGCGCAAGAGAATGCTTCGAAGGCCTGCGAGGCCCGGGATTGGTACCCGAGTATGGCAGGGAGCGGGAACCCGCCCAGCTCTATCCCTGGCGTACCGCAACTAGGAGAGGAAACCATGGAGGATATACCCGCAATGCCAACGGATATGGCCCAGGAAGCTATGTACAACGACCCGGATGCCATGGACCTGGGCTGAGCAGAAGAAGACGCGTTCAAAGACATCGCAAGCTAGAAGAAGCTCTGACAAGCTTCACTTCTCTTGTTGACTTAATCTATTGGCAATACTGTTTCTAGCTCGCTTCACCCCGTCCCAAAACAAATACCAAAGCAAATGCCACTCATTACAATGCCCCCTCTCTGCCCAGAGCGAACCGCAGTACACGAACCCACCCACGCTGTTCCCTTTCCCTCTCACGGTCGATTAGGGTGATTGCTACCAGCGCTCGCACCCGGATGATTTACAGCCACCGGCGGAGGTCCCGCCGGCGCCTGGTAAGGCGGAGAAGACTGACTTGCCCCCCCCTCTGGCGGTCGTCGCGTAGGATCCGTCCGCCACTGCGCAGGGTCGACTTTGGTACTCCCCGCTGGCGGCTGGTAGGTGGGCGGCAGATCGGCATTCGTGTACAGCGGCGGCGGCATGGAAAACCGGTCATACTCGCTCTGCTGTTGCGGGGGATACTGGTTATAGTAGGCTGACGGGTTCTGGAAGGCCGGGTCGTAGCGTGCGCGGTCGCGGCGGCTTAGTAGCCACTGTTTGGTCACACGTGCATCCGTTAGCGATTGGTGATGCTCTCTCGTGTCTGGGATGGGAAAGTGGGGAGGGAGGAGGTGGAACGAACCTGGTGATACGGCAGGGGCGCAAGTCCATTGCTGATCCGCTTCTTCGCATGCCAGTAACCCACAATCATGTAGGTCAGGAAGAGGAACATCAGGCCGAAGAACACCGACCAGCGGATGATTTGTCCTGTGCAGCACCGGCACCGCGTCAGCCCATGATCGCACTCTCACGACAGCATATCGAACCGACATAACAGCACAGCACAGCACAGCACAGCACAGCACGGGATAGGACCACACGAACCTTCCTTCGTCCACCAGAAGGCCTCCCCCTTCCTCTCATCGGTCGGCCCAAAGTCCTCCTCACTGCCCAACATCTGCCTCTCTCGGAGCCGCATAGCCATTTCGCCTCGTGTTCGTCTGTTGTGTACCCTTCCGTCCTTTTCCTCGGCTGCCGTCCTTTTCTCGCTCGGTATGATTTCTCAGGATGGGTAAATGGGAGGCCGTGTGGAATCAAGTGCCTCGATTAGTCGTCCGCGATGTCGTCGTCGAAGCGTGGCAGCAGCAGATGCATGTGCAAGTGCGTGCACGTAGGTATGTAACACCGGTATTCACAGCTGGTATTAATCGATCGCAACGGACGGGGTACAATCCCAATCTAGTCCAATCTAGTCCAATCCAATCCAATCTTTACCGCACACCCAAATCAACAATCATAAACGTACGTGAGGTGTCGATGGATAGGTAACGTAAGTAAAAGCAAAGCAGGACCACAAGCAGATGAGTGAGTGAGTGAGTGAGCAAGTGTGTAAGTGAGTAAGTGAGTAAGTGGGCAAGTGAGCAAGTGTGCAAGTGAGTGAGAGAGCAGGTTAAGAAAGGCAAGGCGTCAATAAAATCCCAAACCAAACACCGACAACCAATTCCCCAGGAAACACCGAACCCAGGCTGAAGCAGAAGCGCAGCCCGGCCACGCCCACAGCAAGCGGGCACCCAACCTCAAGCTCAAGCCCAGCCAAGCCTTGCATCCCCGCCAGCCCCCTCCCCCAAAGGCTTGATCCTCCTCTCGGCTCGCTCCTGCTGGGCCCCGATCACGAGGAGGATTTACTTACGAGTAGTAGGTAGTAGTACTTCTACTTGGGACGTACTTTACTTGGTATTACCGACCCGAGCCATTTGGCCGTTGGTCTGTCTGCTTCTGCTTCTGCTTCTGCTTCTGCTTCCACACGGCCATGCGCAAACCGCTCGGCTCCAGCTGCAACCGGTGGCGCCCGTTTCACTCCACGTCTGTTGCGAAACGGAGTAGCGAGTCCCCCTCGCTTCTCTTGCTGCCCTGCTCTGCCCTGCTCTGCCCTGCTCTGCCCTGCTCTGCTCTGCTCTCCCATCCCATGCGTTGCGAAAAAAATAAAAATGAAAATGAAAATGAAAAAAATCCCATCTCCATTCCCAGCTGCTCACCCTCCCCTTCTTTCCCCCTTCCCTCTTCCATTCTCTCCTTCTCTCCCTCTCTCCGCCCCCCCCCTCCAAGCCTCCAGGTAATCCTCTCCTCGCAAACAAACACTCACCCTCTCACTCACTCGCTTACCCACCCCAACCCCAACCCGACGCCAACCGCAACCGCCACCCCACCGCCACCGCCCAGAACTTCCTTGCCCGCACAGAAAACAGTCGTCTACGTACCGGTATTGTCCACTATCCCGTGCCCTCGTAGATACAGGAGATATTTCCAGAAGTCCAATTCCAATTCCAATTCCAATTCCAATACACACCTCCTGCTCCTCTCGCTCCTCCTCTTCCTCCTCCTCTTCCTCCTCCTCTTCCTCTCCATCTCGGACATCTCCAAACGTCCCCACTAGGTAGTATTACACTAGGTCCTACTGTAGTATTAGGTACCTGTATTAGGTAGGTAGGTCGGTCTCCCACCCAACTAAGCATAACTATAAATAGTGAATTGGCCCCCCCCTTCCCTCCCCTCCTCACATCACATCACATCCCCCCACCCAACCCGGAGATTTCTCCCCTTGGCACTTCCATCCTGACCGTACCGTCCATCCACATACGGTATCCACCTCGGTATCCCCACAGCAACCAACCCACGCAGCAGAATTAAAATCAAGCTCCAAAATCCTCCGAAAGCATGTTTTTTTTTTTTTTTAGTAAGAAAAAAAAAAACCAATTTGAGTTATCGTATATACTAGGTATAGTAGTACCTACCAACCAACCGACCAATCCCAACCAACCAATTTCAATCCCAATTCCAACCGTCCCGAAAGCCACACGAGCTATTACTACTACGTACTTACTTACCTTACTTACTTAGTAACCGTAGTAACCGTAGTAGTAGTTGTATATTTAGGGGCAGAAAACAGAAAAAAGAAAAAAGAAAAGTAAAAAATAAATAAAAAAAAAAAAATTCCCTCCCTACCTAGGCACCTCCCTCCCTCCCTCCCTCCCTCCCTCCCTACCTACTCGTCAATTCCCTTCTAAAAAAATTCTCAATTCGCAAGGATCGACCGAGACTTGCTGTAGCAAGTCGGCACCACCACGACGGGCCCGTGAAATCCGCTCTTCTACCGGATCCGGTAGTAGCACAATAAAATAAAATAGCAGATCAACCAATCAAACCTAACCTACCCAATCATCATCTCCTAGCTAGGTAGGTATTCACGTCTAGAGAGCTGCCCCGTGTTGAGTTTTCGATCTTAATCGACGCGTGGAATTTTTCGTGACAGGTTACCTATTCTTCTTTTTATGGTGTCGAGTTGAGGTTAGTTGACATTGTACTTTTGATTTTTGATTTTTGATGTTTGATTTTTGGTTTTTGATTTTGGGTTTTTGATTTTTGATTTTTGTATTTTTGTATTTTTGTATTTTTGTATTTTTGTATTTTTGTATTTTTTGTATTTTTTGTATTTTTTGTATTTTTTGTATTTTTTTCTATTTTTTTCTATTTTTTTCTATTTTTTCTATTTTTCTTATTTTTTCTTATTTTTTTCTTATTTTTTCTTATTTTTTCTTATTTTTTCTTATTTTTTCTTTTTTTCTATTTTTTCTATTTATATATATATATATATATATTTTTACGATTGAGTACCTACCTACCTATACATCAGAATTCTGCCGCGTAAATGAATCCTCGAATCAGCGAGGCAGGCGAAAATTCGGACTCTGATCTCAACCTAGCAAGAGGATACGTGCATCGCGACCAACTTTTATTTAAAAATTATTACTTGTCGTAAGACCATCATAGATTGCATCCCTTGGTTCTCGATCCATGTGACGTTTTTTTTTTTTAAAAAAAAAAAATGAAAGTTGTAGTTCTGAAGAGATTCGCGATAAACAAGTACATTCGAATTTCTTCCAGACGGTTAGTTCTTCACGATGTTTTCATTGCGTTGGAATGTATCATATCGTCAACAATACATGCTTTTTTATATTTAGAATCGACATTTGTGAGGCCAAGTTTTTGGAGCATGTAGATATTTTATTTTATCTTTATTGATATTGATATTGAGAGTTGTGATGGAATCAGTGGTATACCGTTACTGTTCCCGCCTTGCTCGGTGTCCCCGCCTTGGTGCAGTGCGCGCCAGGTCGGGATTTTTTACAAATGAAATTCAAGATGGCCGACGGTTGATTAGGTACCTACTGTACCTACGCTAATGTTACCTAGGTACCTACCTACCTACCTACCTACCCACCACCCACCATCCGCTCACTCCGCTCTCTAGAATAAACACATAAATCAATAAAAATAAAACAATAAAGAAACAAACAAGCAAATCAATAAACCAATAAAATAAAATAGAAGACCAAGCCCCCCAAGCCCAAGCCCAAGCCCAAGCCCAAGCCCAAGCCCAAGCCCAAGCCAGAGATGAAGATGAAGATGAAGATGAAATTTAAGATTACTCAAGAACAGAAAAGGCCATCCACCCATCCATCCACCTAGCCCACTCCCACTCCCACTCCCACTCCAAATCACAATCACAATCCCGCCCCCAATACCAATCCCACTCCCGCCCCCAATCCCTGACTACTGAATAAATAAAGTAAATAAAGTAAAGTAAAGTAAACAAACCAACCAACAAAATAATAAAACACGACGTAAATAAATAAATAAATAAATAAAGCGCCGCCCCCCCCTCCCCTCCCATCTCTGCATCCCTGCATCTCTGCATCTCTGCATCCCTGCATCTGATCTGAGGAATCCCTTATTGTAGTTATTACGTAAGTGAGTGAGTAAGTGAGTGAGTGAGTGAAGTACCTAGGTAGGTAGCACAGTAAGTACAAGTAGGTAGGTAGGAAGGTACTAGGTAAGTAGCACAGTAAGTACGGTACAGTAAGGAAAAAGTCGCTTCACAGATCCTGACGCGGCGGCGGAGCGGGGCGGAGCGGGGCGGAAGTGGAGATACCGGTACACCTACCGGTACCTACCCACCTACCTACCTACCTACCTATTAGATTCGAGCGAATTGAAAATTGAAAATTGAAAATTGAAAATTGAAAATTGAAAATTGAAAATTGAAAATTGAAAATTGAAAAATTGAAAATTCCAAGAGCGGTATGTACCGTAGCTTGATTGCGACCGGAGTACCACGGTACCACGGTACCACGGTACAGGCGTAATTACTGTATTACCCCTGGAGGGTGCCTCACAAGTTCAAGTTTCCACTATTTACAGTATAAAACCCCTGCTTACCCTACCCGCAGGGGGGTAATGCTTACGCCTGGGACGTAGTACTACGTACAAGCCTGGATACCTCCTATTCCGCTTATCATCCATCAATCGGACACCTGAAATCCCTCCCGTCCGCAGGCACTCTATCATCGCCTTGCACGCTCTCCAGGCAGCTCTGGTGATAGATGTGCCGGCAGGCCAACAGCACCAGCGGTCCCAGGTCCGCCGTCCCCTCTGGACCGACCAGCTGCTCGTCGTCCGCCCCCCCGGCATCGGTTCCCGTACCTTGGCCTTTCCCCTTGGCCACCTCAACAGCACCTCTGACTCGACTCGGAATTCGTGTAGGCGCTTTGCCCTTCCCGCGCTGGGCGGCTCCGCCAGCTTGTTCTGATCTCCGTTCGCTCCTGCGTTCCAAGTCTCGTTCTTCCCTCTCTTCCCACTTGCAGAACACGTTGCCCGAGACGCCAGGGCCCCAGACTCGGCGCCCGCAGCCCTCGCATGTAGAGCCGCGAGGTCTCCAGCCGCGCTGCCGGAGCGCCGTGGCGGATTGGACGTTGACGAAGAGGTCTTTGTCGAGGAGACGGTTCGCCAGACTGAGGATCCGCTCTTCGTATGCGTAGGCGGAGAATATCGAGGCGAGGACAGCGCGAAGATCGCTGAGATTGGGGGAGGAGATCGAGGCCCGGGTGAGGAAAGCCCGGAGGATGCGAAGAAATGAGAGGCTTGCACCTGAAGGGGAAGGTGTGGATGTTGAGGTAAGCAAAGCCGTAAAAGTTCGCTGCACAAGAGTCCGTAGTTGAGCCAGCAATTTCTCGTGACCGATGTCTCTGGTGCTTTCGAGCTCACTAAGACTTGCCGAGAGGTTCCGTGTGATTTGTACGGTGGCCTCGATAAGATCCAGCCAGAGAGCCTCTCCTGGAAGCAGCTCATCCCTCGGTGGGTGTTTACGGCGCACGGGAGATGTTGCCGTCCGTGTGGGCTGGCTGCTATGATCCTGGCACAACCAGATCCCAACATTTGTGTACTTCTGCAATGCCCCCAAGAGATCTTCGGTAGCTTCTCCGATATGCATTGACTGCATGTCTTCAGTCGAATTGTTCAAGAGCCCAAGAAGTGTAACTTCGAGCTTCTTGAGGTGTTTGACAAGTCGATCCATAGCTTCTCGTAACTGGCCCTCCCGAGCCATCAAGACCACAGCGGCATCGACAATCCCACTATCCTCCATATATGGCAGCACCTTGTCGAGACGCAGGTCGCTTGCTTGTACCAATTCCACATATGATACCACATGCGAGGAGTCGAACTTGCACATCAACTGCACATATCTTTCCGTGAACTCTGAATGCGCGGGTGGTTTGCTTTCGTCACCCGTTTCCGGTTCGAAGATCGTATGCAAGTAAGTATACTGTAGCTCGGAGTCCTCTGGTAGGGAATCCAGGAGTTTCCGATGAAGCTCGGGTGCGTAGGACTCGACAACTTGGGCAGCTCTATTCGCACTGCGATGTACAAGCTCACTCGCATGTCGTTCAATAACATCGTGGACATCTCGAATCTGTCTCTTGGTCAGTCCCGGGCGAGGTCTTAGACAGTCGGCGATGCAGTCGAAGATAGCATCCCCATCTTCTGGATCGTCAAAGTATGCCTGGATAAGCTTGCTGTACTGCTTCTCTGATCGGTAGATGCTCTTTAGAACCCGGTAGAACCCAGCCTTTTCAACCAACGGGATCAATGCTTTCAAGTCAGGAGGGTGGTAGACTGAGAGCAGGTATTCGGCACTCAGCTGAGCATCATCAGCCAGATCCTCTCCGGGAAAGTTACATAAGCCGGCAAGGACCTTGTGCAATGCCGTCCCTGAGAGCAATAAGTACTGGGGAAATTTGGGAAGGTTGCGGGCGATGAACATGTCGAGGTAGATGGTATCTTCCGATGCAAAGTCATCGTGATTCATGACTTCCAGCAGGATTGTGATGATATACTGTCGATCCATAGAGAGTCCAAAGACGTGTTCCTCTGGGAGGTCACGACTCGAACCCCCATTGACAGCTCGATCAGGCGAGTCGTTCAAGAAGGAGTCCTCAAAAGCTTCATTTAGCGCGCTCAGAAAGCTAGGTGCATCGAACTTCAGGATCATCCGCAGGTATGGGAACGATGGTTCGTGTGCCAATGTGGGCTGCGTCAGGAAGGGCTGCCCGGTCGATTTAGGCCATGTAATCGTTCTGCCAGAGAATATGAACCAGTAAAGCTCTGCTTTGGCGTCCAAAGCTTCCTGTTCACCGAGGATCTCGCCGGTAGGGTAGACTCGCCCGGTGAAAGTGTATGAAAGGTAAGGAAACATTTTCAGTGCGTTTACTCCATAGATGGGATCCTCCATGACGTTACCATTCATGAAATAATCTCCATTTTGGACCAGGGGTATCAAAAGTGTTAAGAGGTCTATCAGGGGCGTTATATAATCGTGAAGGGCTTGATTCCAGATGTAGATGAGTGCGTCATAGAGGTTGTGCTGTTTGCACAAAGTCGTAACTTGATCGATATCGAGAGTCGTGGTCCCCATATTGCAGATCATTTCCTCAAGTCGGCTTTCCAGCCCTTTCGTCACGTAATGCGTGACCATAGCCTTCACAACTGTCGGTGGTATGGTAAGGATCTGCTTCTCCAGTATACGGGGTTCCAGGGTTTCGAGAAAGACGCCTTCGGAGCCTCCATCCTCGTACCAGCCGTAGGCTTCCTCAAAGAGGAAATCTACATCTCCAATGCTGAGGCAGGCCTCAAAACATGCTTCGGCCAAGCTTCTCAGGGGAATGGCATCCGGAGAGACAGTCGGCGTCTGCTTCTGGCCAAACGCAAACTTCAATGAAGCGGTCATGATTTCTAGAAGCTTATCCTGCACCATCGAGTGGCGCAGAGTTGTGTCTTCCGGCAGACCGATGGTCAGTTTGTCCGCAGCTCCTGTGTAGTAGGACGTTGCCAGCTGGACGGCTCCGATGTAGTCGCCGTTTTCCATCAAAGCGATCAAGCGATCGGCCCAGTTTGACAAGGTGCCAATGGACACATCGTTGAAGCCCAATAGAAACATTCGGCTCTTGTAGGCTTTAAAGCTCATGTGGAAAGCATCGGCTACAACGCCATGCATCGAATCGTCCTCCTCGTCCAGCTGCTCAACTAGGGTATGTAACTGTTCCGAAAACAGGTCTTGGTGGTATATGTGCTTATTGATGAGGTCAAATGCTTCGGTCATCCGCATACTACCATCTTCAAGGATGATCAGCCGCTGCGTGATGGTCAACACTGTCAGAACAGATCGACTGAGCCACTGGACTGCAACAATAGCCTCTTCTGCTTTCCATCTACTCCGAGCCTTGAACGACAGACTCGGCGGTTCATCTTTATCTGAGGATGGTACCTCGTCGACATCCAGTAAGGTCAGGACGTTAGACCAGCAATATACCAGCTTTACTTTAGACACATCACTGCCCGTTTGCGGGTCTCTTACTTTCAGCTTGACGGCTGGAAACCAGGCCAGGCACCCACTTAGCGCACTGTGAGCAGCCACTTCCTTGGGGCGTGCTGCCTTGTGTTGTGTTTGAGCAATAGGAGTCGTAGACACGATAACTAGCAGATACGGAGTGAGCATAGCGGTCAGGCCTAATGTATCACTTCCCCTCTCGGCATTTCCGAGGGGGAGAGGCGCAAATGCCAGCACAGTGCTTGGCTTTCGGGGCTTTCCTGTTGTAGGGCCATCGTTCGGATACCGCCCTAGTATCCGAGTGGTCTTGACAGTACGACCAACGGCACCCAGACCCCTGGTTGCGAGATGTGAAAAGGCCATGCCACGGTCACCAGCCGAAACAAGAGCTGTATGTCTGGTACCCAGGAACCCCACGTGTCTAACAGCAACGTTGGGAAGGTGTCCATCTAGCGTTCTGTTGACTAGCTGAGCAGGTTCGAGACACGGGATGTGCAAAAAGGGACGGGCAGCTCGGGCAGTCTCCCATGTAAAGATGCTTCCATTGGCATGGCCTCCTGCAATAATCAAGTGGTCCGCTGAAATCGCAACGGAGGTCACAGCACCGGATTCCACAGCTAAATCCATCAGCATTTCCCCCTGGATCGTGGAGCCGAAAACCCACCTTTGGTGCCGGGTCCTATTATTGACTTGAGATTCTGGTGGTAATCGAAAATTAAGATTATTCCTTTGGAGGTCCCCAACACTATAGACGCAGAAACTGATATACATGTCGGCACGCCGAAATTTCGCTTGCCAACTTCAGAAAAGGCTTGCCCGTTCATCTTCTTGAGCTTCGTCCATCGTACAACTTCCCATGGTGGAGATGGTGTGTCGGTATCCCCGGGGTCTGGTATTACTTGACTACTCAGAGACGCAGCGCGAGAGTGGGTTCTGAGAAATGGCGAGGAGACGCGGGATATGGAGAGATTAGAGGACGAGAGACGGGATTGGAATCGCCTGTCGAAGGGTTGGAAGGAGGGAGTAGGACTTTCGAGACCGGGTCTGGAGGCTACTGACGGAAGTATGCCGCTCCCACCAGGTGATGAGAGTACTGAGCCCTGCAGAGTCTGTCAAATTGAATCCTGTATATATATACGTTGTCTAGCCTACCTGGACTGAAGGGGAATCGTCCGGGATCGACAGCAGCGAATCTATGGGACTCTCAGCTCTACGAGGTAAAGCGTCCAAGGATCCATCTTCAGAAGGGCTGTCTATCGGGCGGGCAGCTTTGTAGCGGTTGGATCCATTGCCCAGCTGTTCTGGTGTTGGGGCAGCCTCTCTTACTTCTTCCAACAGTTCCACTAAGCGCCCTGCAGAGGGTGTGCGATCTTCGTTTCTCGTCGGCGCATCATCCCCTACATTCAAGTCATCTCCATTGACCGTAGCCTCCTCCGCACCGCTGTCGTTTTCCGAAGAAGAGGAGCTCATCGGTTCATGGTTCCACCACTCAAGCAAGTCGATGCGCCGCAGTTCGTGGAATCATGAAAACCGTCACTCCGGGACCTGCTTTGGTGCCACCGAAGAAGGTTTCGCGAAGCCGCAATCCGAATATGCCGGAATATCGAGGAATCTTTAGGGCGTCGACGTTCGCAGACAGAGTTGATAGCTGTAGTTAGATCTACGTAGGTAGGTTCCTCGCTTAGCGCGGACGGCTTGAAGCTCAGTTCAAGGACAAGGCATGTGAGATGAATACTTATTGCATGGTTATATTGTATTGTATTGTACTGTAACGTCCTTGCTCACGAAGTTTGCAACGTTGATCGCTGTCGAGCAAAGGTTCGAACTGTTTGACAGGGAGAACGAATTGTTTGAGACGACAGGTATCGCGTGGGTGAGACAGCTCGCGGAAACTTGCCGACCACTTCAACACTTACGTAGTCAAGTACCTACTGGCTTACATTTTAAACGCGACACACATTTTAAACGCGACACCAACAACCTCACAACTCGACTCCGTACCACCAAAATGCCTTCCGTCGGCCCCCAATTACCGCCTCATCTCGCAAAGCGCAAGCGCTCGACTGACGACGACGAGATTCCCACCTCACCACCCCGCAAAGTTCAAGCAGCAACAGCTCCCCCTCCACGAACCCTAGGACCGACCCTCCCACCTACTGCCAACCCGGACGAACTCGACCTCGACGACAGCTCAGAAGACGAATACGGCCCCTCGGTACCCGAACCAGAAAGCACAATACAGCCCATACCCTCTCCAGCCCCAAAAAGACGAGTCCTTGGCCCGGCGCCCCCTCCAGCAAACCTCGCAGAGCGCCCCTCGTACCCCGCCGACGACTCCTCCTCGGACTCCGACGATGACTTTGGTCCTTCCCTGCCACCCGCACCTGGTTCCGCAGCCGAGGCTGCCATGTTCGCGCAGCAGAAGGAAGATGCAGATCGCTCAGCAGTAGCGGCAGCGTCAGCCAAGCCTCAGCGAGCGGAGTGGATGTTGGCACCACCCACAGACGCCGACATGAGCGGCCGCGTCGACCCAACGAAACTCAAGAACCGCAAATTCGCATCCGGTAAAGGCGCCAAAGCCCCAGCTGAGAAGAGCGGTATCAGCGCCATCTGGACCGAGACACCGGAGGAGAAGCGCCAGCGATTAGAAGATGAGGTTCTGGGGAGGAAAGATGCGGCTACCGGTAGCCGGGGGGGAGGCATCAAGAAGGAGATTAGTCGAGAATTGGAGAAGGAGGAGATTGCTACGGCGAAGCGGATTGCGGAGTACAACGAAAAGAACCGGGGAAGGAGCTTGTACGAGGAGAGGGAGAAGGCGAAGGAGAGTAAGGGAGAGAAGGTCGAGGAGGACGATGATCCAAGTAAGAGGGGATTCGATCGTGAGAAGGATATGGCGCTGGGTGGACGGTTGGGTCATGGACAGAAGAGAGAGATGTTAGCCAAGGCGGCGGACTTTGGATCCAGATTCCAAAAGGGGAGATATCTGTGATATGGTGCATGTTGTAGTTGGTCTTCTCTGGCGTGCTTGATAAGTCCGTCTTGAGATCACTCCATATTGGCTCAGCTATGCCGTAGAATATCACGAAATATGCCTTGGCAATACACGCTCTCGAATATAATCCTGCAGAGGCCCTATTGAAGCTTCATCCTACTTCGGGTGTATACAGAACGCCTCAACCACCTCGCTATAGGATCCTCGAGGTTTGTTGCACATCGTACTCGTGTCAAATTTCGGCAAATGTGAAGAAAGAAAAAGAACCCCTCCCTCCTATTGCTTCCATTCAGCCATTTAGCCTCTCGAGACTTTTTTGTTGCACATCGCACTGTTCTCAAATTTCGGCAAACCTGAATCCTCTCGGGTTCCAACATGCCCTCCCTAACAGAACCCCCATTACTTTAATCCACTCAGCCTCTCAAAACTTCTTATTGCACATTGAACTTTTCTTACATCTCCGCAAAGTTCAAAAGAAAAAGAAAAAACGTTATCAGTTTATACCTACGTGGCTTCTTCAAGACTTCCTATTGCATATCGCACTCCTCTTAGATCCGAACAAACCTGGCAAAAAAAAAAAAAAAAAAAAAAGAAGAAAAGAGGCCCCTTCCCTCCTCATAGTGGGACCTGCCGTCGCAACTTTAGAGACCCGTCCCTCAAGTGGGCGAAAACAAGAAGTCTTTGGGGGAAAAAAGCATGTCTTCCGTCGAACACACCAAGATCAGCTTGAAAACTCGCCTAGAATCGCGAGATTCCAGTTGATTTTCTCATTTGAATCACTCCACAACGGATCTAGATGTAAAGATGAGAACCGAACAACTCAATCAGCGGAACGCTTAGCCATTAGCCCATCTTATTTGTAAAAAGTGGAATCTTCTCCTGCTTCTAATTACACAATTAATAAAACAACCAACCAATCAAATCAATCAATATATCACATCAATATATCAAATCCAATATGCCTAGACCGTTTATAACACTCACTCACCCACCCACTCACCTACCAACCAACTCTCCTTCCACACACCCCCAAAAAAAACCTTTCAAAAAAAAAACTTCATCCATTGCACATCCACCGCCCCTCCTCTCAAGTTCTCCCAGATGTGAAAAAAAAAAAACGGATTGACTGACTGATAGATCGCCCGAAGCGGCGGCCCGACGCTTTCCTCGCTGCGTTTTTCAAAAGAGAGCCAGCTGGCTTTGATAGCATAGTTATGGGAGAGGGATGGATCCATCGTGTCGCCGCCGCGTTGAAGTCCCTTTTCTTTTCTTCACTTCACTTCGCTTCACTTTACTTCACTTCACTTCGCTTCACTTCGCTTCACTTCACTTGGCTTGCCTGGGTTCGTTGTTGCTAGATGTTTGGTTGGCGGGTGTCGTGGTAGAGGAGGGGAGGAGAGGGGCGGGGAGAAAGAGAGGGGGAGAGAAGAATGGGAGAAAGGAAGAGGAAAAGATAGGGAGGGGGAGGGGAGGGAAAGGTAAGTAGATGTGGATATGTAGACTTTGTCCTTTTTTTCTTCTTCTTTAGATTCTTCTTCTTCTTCTATTCATTCTGCGATTCCTTTTTTCTCTCTACGTGTAGATAGAAGGAGGGGGGTACCTAGGGAGGGTAGCTACTTTAAAGGTCTAGTACAGAGAGAGAGAGAGAGAGAGAGCCACGCGCAAACCACGAGCGAGCTTATGCTGTTCCATCAACGAGTTCGGTTCTTGAGCAGCAAGCAAGCAGCCCGTTCGTCGTTGGGTGTCAGCCATCAGAATGAGATTGAACGGATGGATGGATAAACAAATAAATATGACTTATCCTTCGGCTTGCTTGCGTGTATGATGCTATCTGGCCGGGTCCAGACAATCCTCTGCCTTGCCTTGCCTTGCCTTGCCTTGCCTTTGCTTCATCCCATCTCGCACTCGGCTCCTCGCAAACCTGATTCTTGATTTCTTGCCGACGAGTTAATTTTACTTACATCTCCCCGCAGAGACTGATGAGGACTTCCTGGTTCGGGACATCTTTCTGTGGATGGCGACGTGTTAGTCAGCCTATCAATCTATATCCATTCCCTTGTTTTTTTTTTCTTTTCCGGAAAAGTGCTAAATAAGAGAGAGGGGGGGGGGAGAGACAGATCAGGATAGATACATACACCGCGGTACCCCGTCTTAGTATTCTCCATCATGTGCACGACATCCATGCCCTCAACCACCTTGCCGAACACGACGTGCTTGCCGTCCAGGAACGGTGTGGGGACGGTGGTGATGAAGAACTGGGAGCCGTTGCTGTTGGGGCCTGCATTCTGTTTTTCCATCCATCAGCCCTCCTATCTCCCAGATCTAAAGGCATGGGAGAGGGAGATGCGGGGAGGGGAGAACATACAGCCATAGACAGCAATCCGGGCTCGGTATGCTTCCGCTCAAAGCTCTCGTCCGCGAAGTTCGTGGTGCCGTAGATGCACGTTGAACCCGTACCGTCGCCGGCGAGAAAGTCGCCGCCTTGGCACATGAAGTCTTTGATCTATGCGCTCTCACGGTCGTTAGCCGTAAAGCCATATAGCCATATAGCCATAAAGCCATCCATCCACCATATCCTATCCACATCCATATCCATGCACATCCCCTCTCTATCCCACTCCTTCTCACATAACGAGAACCAAGAAAGAATCAAAACAGGATGAGAAGAGGGAGAACGAGAGGCCGGACATACGATTCTGTGGAACTTGCTCCCCTTATACCCCTGCGGCTTGCCCAGGTGGTTCTTCGTCTCGCCGGTGCAGAACTGTCGGAAGTTCTCCGCCGTCTTGGGTACGACGTCTGCGAAGAGCTCGAATTTTATGCGGCCCAGCTTCTCACCTGGGGCCATGTCAGTCGGTCATCACCAGTATTTACTCTTGTTTCTTTGCGCTCTCTTCCCCCCGCCCCGGAGAAGATATTTGGCATCACGTGATATCAGAATCTGGCTCTCGGCTTTCAGGCCCGGGCGACTGACTGGTCGTGCTCTGATGCGATGCGCGCGTGTCGCGGGAATTTTCGAGATCCCGGAGATGGTGATGGTGCATGAGAGGGCGGGATACTGACCTCCGAGTGTGATGTCGAAGAAGACCCTGGATGGAGGTTGATGAGTCGCGGTGGTCTCGTGATTTCAGACTTGCGAATCAGCAAATTTACTTACAGCGGGTTGCCTGATGCGGGAAGAACAGTGGGCGCCATCTTTGCCGCTTGATCCGTGTCTTCCGACCAATACTAATATCGGTGAGACGAAGGAAATTGGTCGCCGCTGTCGTGGAGCTTTTGATAGAGCTGAAGTTGTCGATCAAGAGATGGCTGGTTGGGATACCTTGGCGGCAAAAGCTGGTTGTCCGTCCTCGCTTGAGGTGAGAAGTGCGCCTAGGATATCAGGCTTGAATGTCAACAATGGCGGCAAGCTTTCAGAAGTTTGGGGGAACTGCAGTGAGTTCGAAATCAATCAGCACTATCGAAACTCAATCCCGTACCCCCCAAAAAATATTCCTTTGATTCCCAAGCACCCTCTCCTAAATTTCATAATACATTCGCTCTACCCTCAACATCAGCTCCCCATGATCCACTCGATGCTGCTTTTCCTTCCAGATTCCCCAGAAGCCGGGTCACCACCGTTGTAGTAGCTGGTCGCTCAATCTAGCAACTCACCGGACCAACTCACTACCGGTAGACCAAGGCGGCGGAAACAAAGGGTCCGGGGACGAAGCGGACTTTCTCGTAGTCTGGTTGGTTTCTGCTAGCGACCGGTAGGTGAAGCTTTGAGTCCCGCTCCCGCACGCCGAACTCTAGATCTGGCGCTTAGGTGCGTGGCAGGATCGAAGGCTGGGAGCAGCAGAATATTCCACGTGGTAGGTATACGATTCAACGGGACCGATGATCTCTGAGGGACATGTTGGCGTTTACTTCTTGGGTGGGAGGGTAGGTGGTGATGCGGGTTGGAGAGGGTTTTGTTTTGCAGGAGAAGAGGTATCGTTCCGCAATTAAGGATAGTTGTACAAGTAAGTGCTGCAAATATTGAACGGGCATGATGAAAGGGGTGAATAGATGGCTGCTGTAATTAGTACTCGGGCCTCGCGCAGGGAAGATGTTTGAAGTGGCCATTTGGGGTTGGGCTGGTGTTTCTTTGTCTGTTTATAGTTCGTATAGGGTATACTACCGTACTCTACTTGTACTCTGTAGTACTACTACGTAAGTAGTAAATGACACGACGCCGCTCGATCGGATCTGTTGATCATACAGGAAGAATTTTCTTATTTTAATTCTTTCTTGTAACAAGAAACAGTAGTTGAATCCTCACGAAGCGAGACAGGAAGGGTCGTCGGACTATGCCCTAATCAGGTAGATATCGGGCGGTCCGGGCGGCAGGGAGGTTTGCTGATAGGCTGGTTGATAGCGAAATTTGGCTGTACTAATACTAGTAGGTATTAAGTACGACGTATACTCTATATGGCGAAAGCGAAGATCTACCGGTAGTCAAAGCGCGGGAAAATCCTGGTTTCGGAAACATGGACGACTCCTCCGTATTTCGTACTACGGACTAGGTACTACTTCTAGGTACTAGTACGGTAATACTACTACATTCGCCATACTCCGTAATCGAGATAGTTGTCCTACGTACGACGACGTTCTATACTGTATGTTTCAGACAGAATCGAATCAAGTACTACTTCTACTAAGTTCTACTTCCTCTCAGTAGTCATCCTTCCCGCTTTTGATCAATGCTGATAAACCACGGACTTGGACTTGGACTTTCACTCTTTCACTCCATAGGGCTCTGTACTGTACTATACTGTACTGTACTGTACTGCACAGATAGAGTGCATTGGCGGCATGCTGTCTGCCATCTCATCTATTACCGTACCTGTTCCTCCCGCTGCCTATCGTCCGCCGCTGCGCCTCACGTTCCTCCACCTCCACCTCCACCTCCACCTCCCCCTCCACACCTCAACATCGACTTCCAGCTCCCGCTCCACCAACTCCGCCTCATCCTCCTCCTCCTCTTCCGCCTCTTCCCCTTTGTTGTCATCGCCGTCAACCCTCTCTCCCCGAGGACCCTAATGAATGATTTGATTTGATTTCATTTGATTTCATTTGATTAAATTAATCCTACTTCGTTCGGTTGGTGACCACCGGACCGCACCGATCGGATCCGCGCTTACTTGGTTCCCGCACCTAGTAGTAGCTCTCACCATCTCAGTAGCGCTCCAACGCTCATCTCCCTCGTCCTCCTCGTCTCCCTCGCCCTAATCATCTCCCTCGCCCTAATCGTCTCCCTCGTCCTCCTCCGCTCCGGCCTCCGGATTCTCAGCGCCTCCCTTGGTCACTCGGACAACATCCTCACCCTCACCCTCAAACCTCAACCCGACTGGCCGTGTCACCACATCACCATCTCACCTGGCAACCCGTACGACAAACAAATACCGTGTGTGAATGGTCGGGAGAAGACATTGCATTCGGTTGGCGCTGACCGCAGAGGAGAGAAGCGAGTGCACCATCCACCATTCCGAATCCCTTTGTCCACCCGCGCCACCTCCTACTCGTAGCTCCCGCTCCCGAGTAGCATCCGCAACCATCGAACATGTCGGTCTACAACCACGTCGTAGCGGAGGCCGCCCATGTCGTCGGCAGGAACCTGAATCCGAGGGATACTTCGACGCCTTCCTCTTCGATTTCGCAAATAACAGCTGCCTTCCCGACTCCAAGCATGGCAAACAACAATAACAGCAGCAGCACCCCGGGGGGGCCCACCAGCTCTCCCTTGCTGTTCTTTGTCGCCCTCGGTTTCGGAGTGGTGTTTACAAACTTATGGTGAGCGACTCCCAGGTCCGATCGGTGTGTTTTCCGAGCTGACCGTCCTCCAGGATTATTGTAGGCGTCAAGTACTGCTTTAGATACAATGCTCGCATCCGCGCGATACGAAACGGCGAGGGCGTCGATCCCATCAACCTGGAGAACGTGCCTGCGAGACCACATCGGAGGAGGAGAGAGAAGAAGCTCATGTCGATGGACGAGGTGAACGAGCGATTCCCTTTGACCAAGTACAAGAACTGGGTAGCTTCGCGGGCTAGTGAGGGTCTGTCAACGAACGGCGGCGTTACAGCCCCACTAAGCAGACCAGCAAGCGTGCGGGAAGTCGGTGCCATCGCCCTACCATCTTCGCCGACGGGAACCAAGCATTCTGTCAATACCCGACCGGATAGTGTGGCTACGGAACAGGACGTGTCGCTCTCACCTGCTATCAACAACGTGGGTAGGAAGTTTGGGAATGATCGCAAGAGTATCGATGCCACCATCTTGGAGAAAAGCTTCCCGTCCGTAACAGTCGTCGAAGACGACAAGCTGGAGGCCGTCCCAGCGACTGCTGAGACCATCGCTAAGCACCCAACTACGACGAGTGAGGAGGACGACGAAGAGGATGATCATGTCCACTCGGCTGTTCCTCCTGATCTCCTCGCCAATCCTGGAGATTCGTGTGCTATCTGTATCGACGCACTGGAGGACGACGACGAGATTAGAGGACTGACTTGCGGTCATGCTTTCCATGCCGGGTGCCTGGACCCCTGGCTCACTGCTCGTCGTGCATGCTGTCCGCTCTGCAAAGCCGACTACTACACTCCGAAGCCACGTCCCGAGGGAGAAGCAGAGCCTCCCGAGCGCATCTCCAGAAGAGCTAGGACCGCGCCACAACCTCCTCCCAATGCTTTCTTTACCGTCCAAAGAAGCCGCTTCATGGTTCCAGGACGCCCGGGAGGACGCTCCGGAACTGCGACCGAGACGCGAAGTAGCCGCCGATCTCCTCGAGACGTCGCTGCAGCTCAACTACGAGATGCAACTACTGGAGGCGAGCAGAATGCCGCTGCACCGGCATCACGGAGATGGGTGCCGGCGAATCCCTTCCGCAACATGAGAGTGCCTCTGGTGGGCTCTTCAGGACGAAATCGACGAGCTGCCGAACAATCTGCTGCTGCCACCACCACCACCACCACACCCTCTCAACTCGAAGCAGGTGTCGTTAGATGATCTCACTAATGATCTGACACTTTAATCTCACTGCTATACCCCGCCCAGCTGGCCGGCGGCGTTTACGAGAGGCCATCCCTTATGATATACCCACCACACCTCACAGAACCGAGAATATTTCACGACGTGCACATGCATCTACGTATACGAAATACTACGTGCCACATGCCACGATCTCTCCTCCGCTCCGTATCTTGTGCGCTCTCCTTACTTGCTTTAGCGTTGATTATTCTCGCCATTTCCCGTTAATATTGTTTTGCGAATTTGCAATTGGTTGACCCATGATGAAGCTGGGCTTAGCTAGGCCGGGCCTGGGGAGGAAAGGGACGTACCGAGGGAAATACGGCCTTGAGGGATCGTAATGGGGTATCGCAATGGGGTATTGCCTGCCTGATTTGAGATCGAGATCTGGAGTGCGCTGGATCTTCGGCGGAGAGAACATGGAGGGGATGGTATCTTGGAGAGGAGAGAGGGAGGGAGAGAAATTAATACAAGCTATGCCGTAATGTGTGCATGGAGACTTTTCCCCCCAGAGGCAGAGTGGATCGGATTGGACTGGTCCTGATCGTTAGCTTAGGCTGAAATTTGACACGGAGCTGGTCCTGCCACTTCTCCCACGTCTACAACGTTCTCTTCTTCCCTTTTCCTTTTCTGGGGCTCTTTGTTCTCCCTTCCCAGTCCCAATTCTTGTCGTCACGCCACTGACTGCATTCATGCATAGGTAGTCATTGTCGGTTTCCCAACCCCCCTTCCTTGACCATTCTGGGTAGGAGGCTTCGATTCTCTCTTTTACCTGTACGTACGACGTCACAGGTGCCTCCTACGAACTCTGCTTCAGCTGTCTCTCTCTCTCTCTCTCTCTCTCTCTCTCTCTCTCTCTCTCTCTCTCGT